ATAAGGCATTATTTAATTATTGAAAGTAACCTTTAAGACATACTGTATAAGGTCTTAAATAAAACGCATGCGTCAAGGACTTCAGACAGTTCGAAATGCAAGCTCGTAAATATTTGAAAACTAGATACCTATCGAAAGAACGACAATTTTCGTACTGTAAGTATCATTTTCGCATTTTTTCGCGGAGCTCTGTGGCATCTTGACTTTGTAACGGTCCGCGCGAGACTGTCACCCAAGAAGTGCTTGAGTGGAGTTCAAGCACTTCTTGATTGGGACACATTTTGAGCGCTCGTGGTGTATCTAGGGTATTTAATATCGTTGGTTTAGACAGATCTTGAGCCTTTATTTAGTGGTGCCGATTGCTCTTCCGAATGAAAAGTCGCAGGCTGTTTCGAACCTGAGGGAAAATTGAATTTTTTCAAGATATGAAAATAAGAGTAGTTAACCGAACACTTAATATGGTAACCATATTATTGATATTTTATTCATTGATCGCAGGAAAAGTATCGATCATTCGTTCTTGTCGGTCGTTCGTGCCGTTACCTTACATAGCATTGTGAATGCAAATTTTATTAAATAGTTATTGTTATTCAATACCCTTTTACTTAATTATAATGTCACTTTGTGAAAATAAATCATTCATTTATTCGTTTCTAAAATTTTAATATCTTCTAAACTACAGAAGTTTAGATTTAAAATGAAAAACATTTTATAACATATTTGATCGGCTTTCTTTGTGAAGTGTAGTACAAATATTTAAACTCTTTTTCGAGTTGTTTCTAGTTTGAAACTATATCTTGTGTAGGTACTTAAAAATTTATTGTAATTTTAAAAGTATTATACTTAATTTTGCAGGGCAGTGTATATCCATATTAATACAGTCGAGGCCACGTCAATGGATACGCTTGTAATATGAATATCGTTCCTATTGCTAAGTATTAAAGATGGTATAAAAAAAGCTGACGTTTCAAATCAATTCCCTTTTTAACCCTGGCCTTGACTGTACAATAAACTTGCATGTACACTAACACATTTAACTCCATTATCAAGAATGTAAACTCATATAATACTTCCACAGACATAACAATAATATTAATCTTATCTTTTAAGATATTATTTTGTAAGAGAAATCTAGATTTACGACTGTAGACCTTGTTGCCTTTATGTAAGGATGAAAATAAATTTGTTGAAAACAATGTTTTAGTGAGATAAAGCAGGTATGCATTTGTTCTTATGTGTTTGTATAGTGATAGAGACGGATATCTTTTGATAGCGACACTCTTAAGCATTGAGCCGTAAGGTTGATTATCGAGTGCCGGACATGAAATTATCGTAATCGGTGCATATTTTGTATATAAGTGCCCCCCTAGCATGAGCACCGCGATATGATATACAGGGTGTAAAAAAACTTATAACGAAGTCGAAGGCCACGTATTTTCCACATTATGACGATCATTTTTTTTCTTCTGGACCATTGAGAAATTTATGGTTATGGAGATATTGAAGGTCAAAGCCAAAATATTTTTTTTTTAAGATTTATACATTGATATTTTCAAGGCGTTATTTAGAAACTTTTTATCGACGCACTTACACACAAAAAAAAATAGTATCTTTAAATTAAAAAACACACTTTTTTTCCAGTATGCAATGTATAGCGCCACAGTAAACCGCCGCGCTATACATTGTATACTGGAAAAAAAAGTGTATTTTTTAATTTAAAGATACTAATTTTTCCCACCTATATTATTTTATAATATGACTTGTTTGGGTATACAGAATTCGTAGTTTAAGCCTTTGTCATAGGTTTTTATACACCCTGTATAGCACGTTTATAGGTAGATAAAATCTCGATAAAAAAACTTGATATAATGTAAATTGTTGTGCACCTGCTACGGGGACTGGTGGTGCCACATGGTTCACATGGTTTTCGTATTTGTCTGTTTGTGATATTTTATAAATAATTTGATTTATATGATGTTATATAATTTGATTTGATTTATATGATGCAATATCTGATAAGTAAAGTTGACAAAACATCGTATATCCTTTTGTAGAAAAGCCAAAGGGGAAGATCTTCCTCCGAGCTGGGTGATGTTAGCTCGGGGGCCGCGGCCCGACTGAAATTGGTCGGGCATCGTATATATGGAGTGTTAGGCTCCGAATTTCTCTTGCGCGTTGTAGGCTTCCATACGTTGTGAACGCAGCGCCGGTAGCGCCATCTCTTATGGAGGCGAGTGACTATTTCCTCTATGTTCATTATATGTGGGGCATGTAGATGTCGCCGCCACTTTTCTTGGCTATTCGTGTTTGCTATTCGTAAACTTGCCATCAGTCCGTCCTTTTCATTTGTTACAAAGCTGATGAGGACATTCTGTTGTGTGTGACACTGATGTTTACAAATAGCAAATACGAATATACAATTAAAGTGCCGGCATAACAAATAGGACCTATTCAAAATAACAAACAAGCGCGTAAAGGAGCCAAATAGACAAATACGTCGCGTATTTACTAATGGCGTGTTGCGCAATTAAGTGCCAAATAAAATGGACACAAATGCGCGAACTTCGAATAGACATGTGAACTACCTCCGGAGTTGTATAAGTTAGATTGATATTCTAAGTATTTTCTATCTTTAATGTGCTATTCTACCTTGTCGCAGGTAAGCCATAAAACCATGTTCGTATTTATGTTTAAACCTAAGTTGTAACCAATAAAATGCTATTTAGAATGATTTCCCTTGTTTTTGTAATAACAGTTACTAGTGGTCGCCTAATTATTGGTCGATTACCTACTTCCTAGCACCACTTGGTTCCTCGCAAAGTCCTATGCTCATTACAACGAATTGAAAAAGATACGGAAGCCATACCAACTTTACTGCCTTTTGCCAAATAAATAAACTGTTCAAATAATCGGGAATTAATTTATATAGGTACGCCAACGCAAACACAAATACAACTAACAACAACGTACAAATTAAACTTAACACCCACGCAAACGCACCGCCCCTTCGTTTATGTGATACCACTTTTTAGGCGCTTTGCAGACGGCGGGGCGGAGCGGGCCGGTCAATTTCGCCGCGAACGACAGCACAAAGTGAATCCTTTACTTCAAACGCACACAGAGGGCAAAAAGACCGCGCCGCAGGTGCCCGGCGCGGCATCATACAAACCAGTTTATATGCAGTAACGCAGACGGCGGCGCGGGGCGGCTAGCTCAGTCCGCGCCACGCGCTTATTAGTGATGGACTATTCACTAGAACGAACGTCCTGAACTGACTGCCTCTGCCCGTCGTGTGCTTTGTGTACGCGGCGCGGGCAGCCGCAGACATCGACGGGCGGACGCGGTTTTTATTGCTTCGCGGACAAAAAGCCCGCCCCGCCCCGTCGTCTGCAAAGCGCCTTAACGCAATTTGTGTCACGTATCATTTCGAATTCTATAAGGTGGCCGGGGAGTTGACGTTCAAGCGTAAAAGGAGATTGCTCAGCTTCCATACATGTTTGGCCTAAAGACCAATTCTCATGAAAAATTGTTTCCTAGATTCGAAATTATATATAAATTACTGTAGAAACGAATATTATTGACGGACACCCCTGAGAACTTCTATAAACCATAAACACTGAACATATTAAAATAATAAAAAACAAATAAGTTATATAGTAAACTAGGGAAATCAATCCAAGTACCGAAATTATGGATTAGATTCAGGTATATAGAGCATGTAGATTAACAGATAGTTGCCTGTTTTTAAAGTTAATGCATAAGAGTAACTTTTAAAATCAGGTGTCATTTCCGGTTATATTATGATGCTCTGTGACAGAAACTGTGTGATGATTGTGAATGAGCCACAGATTAGAGAGAATTTTTAAACTCTAGTTAACCAAATAAAGCTAAGAGATTAAGGTTCTATAGCCGTATATTCAGTAGCTTCATTATTTTCGTTATGTTTTTGAGATAACCATATTTTAGATTTTAAGTGTATCACACTTTATAATTTTATTTATTTATTAATTTATAGTCAGGGAACGTAGGCTCATAGATAGATACCTTAAAGTCTTACATTTATACAGATTATAATGTGTTTGGCGAAAAATGTATGGCAATAGACTTTATGATGTCGCCTACCATCTATAATAATTGTCTGAGCGCATTTGCATGTAGTGAAAATGATAATATTGTGGTGGATATTAATACCACATTGTAATAAAAAAAACGATTTATTTTATCGATCTTTACAAAATAGATTTGTTTTTATGTTATATAAACAACTTCGATCAGTCTTTGGCTGAATGTTACTACACCCATAGCCATTAAAAATGATTCGTATGTTTTCCAAACTGGTAATATTAAAAGTCCTTTTTAAAGTAAATATATTATACAAAGGTGTCCGTTGAAATCATTACTGTAAATTAAATTATAAATTACGCCAAGAATTACCGTGTATGTCAATATTTTTCGTGCATTTAGGCCAATTTGAGCAATCTCCTTTAGATAGTTTATGATGAGGAGTATCCAAATCAACCCCCATGTATGTTCTACGATTTTGCGTAGTTTTCGAGTTACAATTTTTTAATGATTTTTTTCGTAATTTCCACCTTCAGTTCTCGATTTTTTTCTCATTCTGTTGGACGTTTCTAGTTCAGATTTTTTGTGATAACTGATATAACATAGTCTAACCTAGCACCCTAAAACTTATGGTTTATCTAGGCATTGCAGAATTAACTTAAAATTTGTTCGCAAGTTCAAAATTACGATTAGAGCTCAGTACACACAAATTTTCAAAGTATCAAAAAAAATGTAAATGGGTGGATTTTGAGTTCAAAGTGCTTTTAGAAACTTCCTGAAACATTAAACTTTAAAACAAGGCCAAATTTACGCTTGAACGTCAACTCCCCGGCCACCCTGTATAGTCCATTATAAGGAGTACTGTACTACGGATATTGCCAGAACACAACATCAATAAAATTTTTAAGAGTATGCAGTCTAACAAGTAAAACGACACAGTCCTTTTTAAAGTTTTATTAAATATCACATATTATTTTGATTGCAATGATATTCGAAACAAATAAATGTATATGCACAATATGATCTATGAATATAGCACTACTTTCTTTCGACGAGCCACTTAATTATTGAGACGTACAATGGTCAATAATGTAGGGAAATCTCATGTTAAGGCACTAAGGTTTAATTTGCGTTGCAGTCTGGAGTAGACTTACTCCTAGGGTCTCCAAAGTCATTTAAGTGGTCTAGACAAAAGAAAACGTACTGCATTTAACTTAGACATAAAAAAATCAAAATGTCCTTTGTGAAGTTTTGTTTTTCCATATGTCGAAAGCATGAAAGTAATAGGGGTGATGATGGGGTACAGTAAACGAAAGTCTATTAAGTCCGTCAGTTAGATGATAAAAAAATAATGGACACGTATTTTTTTTATGGGCAATCAACCAAAAAATGACAAAGTTATAGCGCATCAAAGTTTGGGAGTAGGGGCTCGTGACGTCACTTTTTAGTGAATATTCGCTTAAAAGTGTACTCAAACGTGACGTCATGCGAATTTTCAAATCAATATATCTCTGCAATGTTTATATTATGTGAAAAAAGAAAAAATACGTGTCCAATACTTTTTGATAATCTACCTGATAAACGAAAAAAAAAAATAGTTCATCATCCCTATTCGATAACAAAAATGTTCTCATGGCATTTTTAACCATATGTCCATATGGGAGTAGAATATGCCGTAGTAAAATTTCTAATCGAATCGAGCTTAGAAATGCGTATTTTTTGGTGGGCAATACAAATAGTCCCTAAAATTATCACACACAACTTTATCTTTCTGTTCTTACTGTAATAATAATTAATAACGAGAGATTTAATTTTGATAAATGGTTCTAAAATACTCTTGGCTATTCGTAAACTTGCCATCAGTCTGTCCTTTTCAATTCTTACAAAGCTGATAAGGACATACTGTTGTGAGTGATAGTGATGTTTACAAATAGTAGGCATATAGTCTACATATAGCGACACGTTGCTATGTCGCGTGTATCTATCTACATAATAATTTGAAAATCACTCAATATCAAGTTTCAATATTTCATAACTGATTAAAAATTTGTTAAATTCGCAGTTTGGATGTACAATAATTATTTCTTCACTAGCATTTATCTTTAAAGTATTAATCGCAAAACAATTATTTCTATTAAATCTCTCGTTATAAAATATCGAAATGTCAATATTATCACCTAATTTTAATAAATAACTCATTCGCACATAATAACTCAATAATTATATTCAAATAATCAAAACAATGTAAATTTTGAGACATAATACTTTTTGTTCATTTCAGTGTAATTTTCGTGTCATCTAATTTACTTTCTTTAACTAATCTTAAACTAGTCTGCCCAAAAGTCCACTTTAATAACAAAACATAACGGTAACCTTAGCACGTACCATTATCGAATTCGAATAGTTAAATTCGATCACGATACGCGTCAAATATCAAGAAGTTTTTTGTATGGACGCTTTAATAATAGGGGTGATGACGGGGTACAGTAAACGAAATTCTATTTAGTCCGTCAGTTAGATGATCGAAAAATAATGGACACGTATTTTTTCTTTGGGCAATCAACTAAAAAATGACAAAGTTAAAGCGCGTTAATGTTCGGGAGTAGGGGCTCGTGACGTCACTTTTTAGTGAATATTCGCTTAAAAGTGTACTCAAACGTGACGTCATGCGACTTTTCAAATCAATATATCTCAGCAATACATTTATATATGTGAAAAAAGAAAAAATACGTGTCCAATACTTTTTGATAATCTACCTGATAAACGAAGAAAAAATAATTGGTCATCATCCCTAATCTTGTTCCGTCCGCTGTGGCGCTGTTCAAATTTAAATACAAAAATCTTGACAATTGACGCGCATCGAGATCAAATTCTACTATTCGAATTCAATATTAGTTAGTGCTAAGGGTACTGTTAACAAGAAACTTCCTTCAACATACTCGCCAAAGAACGATATCACTCCATTCAATAGTAACGCAAGGGAAAGCTTTTTATTATGAGTATACAGGGTGGAAATTTTGAATGCCACCCCCAGGGGAAGCACTCTAAATACTGGAGATAGATAAATTTACTCCCAGGAAACATTCCTTTATTTTAAAAAGAAAACACAAATTCATTCACAGATTTTCGAAAATTTGCTTGCCACACCCGGGAATCGAACTAGCGAAAATTCGAAAAACTTACACCCTGTATTTTTATGGCATCGATCGATATAATCAATCAAAGGGATCATATCTTACTAACTAATTTAGTACATTAAATGGAAGGAAAAGCGTGAAATCTTAACTTAACTGAATGGAACAAGACTATCGACGTCATTTATTCATTCAAATAACGAATAACGAATTTTTTGCACATGTCTAAAATGCAGACTAAAGAGTCCAGTAAGGTACCAGTCTCAGGTCTATCGATCGATGCCATAAAAATACAGGTGTCATTTTTTCGAATTTTTGCCAGTTCGATTCCCGTGTGTGGCAATCAAATTTTCGAAAAACTGTGAATGCAGTTGTGTTTCTTTTCAAAAATAAAGGAATGTTTCCTTTGAGTAAAATTATCTATCTCCAGTATTTAGAGTACTTCCCCTGGGGGTGGCATTCAAAATTTCCACCCTGTATATCCAGAAATAATAATATTATTTACTATACGTATAGCTTTAAAGCTTCAATGAATTTTACATTAGGTAATATAAAATCTATATAGCTTGTTACTTGATCATTTCCGTCAATCAAAATGGATTTCAAATGCCATAATTTACAAGAAGTTAATATCAGTGAAGTAACACGGTAGACCCCAAGCTCCACGGAAGAGGTGAGATTGGCAGATTCGTTTATTGCAATAGCTAACTTCACGGTGAACTCTAATTACGTTTGAAAATAGGTAATGCGGTATAGTTTGTAGCCAGCTTCACTCTTATTCCAAAACAAGCTTAGCTGTGAGAATTAATCGGGAAATATAAAGGATAATTTGATTTTTTTCTTTATTCATTTTAATCTTCTTTGGCGAGTACGCTGTCTACAGCAGTGTCACTAGACACAAAATTGGTAACAAAGACGATCATTATAGTAATATAAGTTATTTGCGGGATTGTTACCATGTACCTTGTTTTTAGCGAGATTCCGATATTTCGGCACTGTTGCAAGCGCCATGGTCGCGGAGTAACTTATCTAAATATATTGTTAACCGGTATGGGCCGGATACGTCTCAATTAATAAAACACCTAGAACGCGCGCGGAGACAGTTATGGCGCTTGCAACAGTGCCGAAATATCGGAATCTCGCTAAAAACAAGGTACAGGGTAACAATCCCGTAAATAACTTATATTACTATAATATTAGTATGCTTTCCAATTACAGAGCATAATGCGACTCAGTGCCGCACAATGCCCAATTATGCTGATGCTTAATTGGAACGTGAATTAGTTTTCAAATGCACCAGCAGAGTGCGCTAAGTTCAGTGTTGAAAAAAAAAGTCAATATTTGTACCTTCATCCATACTTATATTTATTTTTTAACAGTTTGAATGAACTTTGATTATTTAAAAAAAAAACTATTTAATGAAACGAAAGCTTTAATAATTTTTCAACAATAAATAATATTACTAACGATAACATATAAATAAAACATTTCGATCAATGCCAACTTAAAGACACTTGTTAATTTTCTTTCTCTAAGTTTGTACCATTGCACGCATCACACGCAAGCATCACTTTTGAGAGTGCTCAGTTGCTGTAGTTGGAACACTCAACGTTATGCATTATGCCGCATAATGCGCAATAATGCTGTAATTGGAAAGCAACCTTAGTGACCATGAAAGTTTAAAACAAAGACGATCATGTCAAAGTTATAATTTAGATGTAGATATACTTCTCCAAGCAGACGTATAAAAACTAATAGACACACAATCACGCTAGAAAGGTGTCGGAAGTCATGTCTCGACCGCACTTTTATTACAACGCCTCGCAATGACAAAATGTACGGTTAAATACTGCAAAACTTTGATAGTTTTCTAAATCGTACTAAGGGTACTAAGTTTATTGTTTTCGTTTCAATACAAAACAGTGTTTAAATTCTATCACTAAATCATTTGCAAGTTATATTTGGTTACTTTTCACCAAAATGGACACAGAAACATAATTTACAATTACGAAAACTATGATAGTTTTCGAGAGCTCGAACTCGTACTAGGGGTACTGATCCACACCTAAAAAACATAGTGTCTTATTTCAGGTACTAGGTTCTAGGATGGCGTTTTTTGTCGTATTGCTAATTAGGTAATGGTGTCGATTCTGGCATGCTTCTCCAAACCTAAACTTAAATTTGACAACAGTGTATCCTTGTCATTCTCTATACAGAATGAAAAAGAGAGACTGATGTTAAATTTAGTTTCAAGTTTAGATATTCTTGCCAAAATCGATATCGAATACATTTTAATAGCTACAACGAAATATCGCTCCCCAAGTTAGCCCCGCGCTTCATGTGAAATCGTGTGAAAATTCTATTTGAAAGTTCATCACTTGCAATATAAAATTAAAATTTTAAATACATAATTAATTTATAATTTGAATTTTTCTCTCTCGTATACTATTGACATTGAATCTGACTGCCACGACGTGACGTTAAATTTGAACAATTGTATTAATGTTGTCTGTATACCTTAATGTATTTATATAACACAGCGCCGTTCTGACGTTTTCGATACACTTTTCTTAGGCGATTGGGAGTCTACTTATTTTTATACTTCAATTGAGCAGATACAAAAAAAAACAGCCAGCAATAATGAAATCATTATTTTGAGAAACTGAGGCGGTGGGCTGACAAACTGGCTAATATTTTTCTGACAACTCCTATAAAGCGATTGATCAAATATTTGGGTTCTAGTAATGTAGGATTGTAGGGCCACGGATGGCAATGACTGCTGATTGTACAGACAGCTTTAGATCAACTCTGCCATGCAAATAAAGCTCAAAATCAGACTTCATGAGACTCTTTATCTGTCTACATTTTTATAAATTACAATTGTAATAGCTAAAAAGTTCAATAAACACCTATAAACAATACTAAGAACAGGTATATCAAAACTTATCATAGATTACATCTAGGATTAACAATTCTTCCGATACTCTAAATGAATTTCACATAACCTATGCTTTTAAAATCAGTACATAATCTGTGTAAAATCACCTATTGAATAATAAACCATAATTTTGGTGCTATAAAAATACAAATTTAAAAAATAAAATGGTGGTTTGAACAGTACAGACATACATAACACTTGACAAAATCAATGCTTTATACTAACATTGTTACGGCCGTTCAAAAACCGCTCGCACGTAAAAGGAGCTTGCCAAAGCTTAAAATATTTTTTCTAATTATCGAACAATAATAATAATAATGTTAAAATTTGTAACTAAACTAGGATATGATATATCCATTGCTGGAGACAGGAATTCGAAATAGCCATAACTTCAAGTACCCAAGGCTTTCAGACTTTACTTATTTTTTTATAGACATATAATCGAATAGCATTATTGTGTACAATGAACGTATACATACTCGCTCACTTGTGCTGTGGGCCAATTTCCAATTATTAAAAGGGCACAGGTGTGTAATTTCTGCCATTTGAAAATAAGTAAGGTCCATCGGCCTTAGGATCTTATTCTATAAGTCAAACAAACAAGACAAAACAATGCAGTCTTTATAGGGTGACAGGTACAATAACATTACCAAACACAATTTTCTGTGCATACGGTGGGTGATTAGTATACTGTAAGGAAAAATTGATTGCGTGTGGCATATAAATGTTCATCATCATCATCAGCCTATTAATGTCCCCACTGCTGGGGCACAGGCCTTCCCTACGGATGGAAGGAACTGGTGAGGACCTGAGTTCGCATCCCAGTGGTAGCAAATGTTTGTATGATGAATACGAGCATTTGTACCTAAGGCATGGATGTTTATGTATATTTCTATATAAATATACAAATCATCATCATCATCATCAGCCTATTAATGTCCCCACCGCTGGGGCACAGGCCTTCCCTATGGAAGGAATAGGGAGATTGGGCCATGACCCACAACGCGGGCCCAGTGCGGATTGGTGGGCGCTAACGACTGCAGATGCAGCCGGGACCAACGGCTTAACGTGCCTTCCGAAGCACGGAGGGGCAAAAGTTAGTAATTTTTGGTCACCCATCCAATGACCGACCACTGCGAAAGTTGCTTAACTTCAACGATCGCAGCCGAACGCGCTAACCACTTGCGCCATCGAGCTCCTCTCGAGTCTTGTTCGCCAGCTCCTTAAATTATACTTCACTGTTGTATATCTCATTAACCTCTATAGGGAATGAAAAGGACAGGCTGCTGTAAGTTTTAAGTAAAAAAAAATATACCTAAGCCGGGCCCATTCAACTTATTTAGAAATCCAAAATTATATCGCTCTGCCGTAAAATATTCTACTAAATCCACTGATCATGATTTCCCTTACAGAACAAATTCACTCCGTATGTGAACACGCCATTCATCGATGATACAAAGGATCACCTCCGCATTTTTCTGAAAATAAATTAAAAGTAACAGGCATTAGTTACTTAATCCTCGTGACGACCTTCGTGGACGAATAGTCTATACGCCAGGTTTCATGGTGTCGCCTACTGGTGAGGACCTGAGTTCGCATCCCAGTGGTAGCAAATGTTTGTATAATGAATATGAGCATTTGTATCCAAGTCATGGATGGTTTTTATATAAATATTAGACTTGCAACGAATATTCGGTTACTATTCGGTATTCGGCCTATTCGGCTGCTTTTATTATATTCGGCCGAATACCGAATATCTACATATTATTCGGCCGAATACCGAATACTTAAATAATATATTTTGTCATAGAGAAATAATTGGTAAAATGAAAAATTAAAACCGATTGATTACGTATATATTCATATTTTCATTTCTGTTATTTAATCATTTAAGTAGTCATTGGTACATAACACAGGTACATAATCATCTTCTGAATTGGAAAAATGGAGGATTCTATGTACATATTTCAATTATTGTGGTAATCAAAATTTAGAAGGGCAAGGTTCTCATTTCTTTTATAATTATTTATTAAGTACCTAGTCATTGGTACATAAAACAGGTACCTACATAATTTAATAATTTTCTGTATTAAACAAGTTAACAGTTTTTAATTCATTCAGTCATGTGATGAATGGTTACATAATAGAAATAATTTAAAGTTTACGCGCCGTTTTTGGTCATATCTCAAAAGTTGGTTTTGTCATTTAGCCGCATTTTAGCTTGAGGACGGCAGATTAGAACAAAACAAATGTTAAACAAAAAGAAATACTTATTGCAGTTCAATACTTCGGTGAAATTTATAACCCGGTATTCAAAAGTACTTACGAGACCGATGTACCTATTCATTTTTTTCACTTAAACTTCCCGTATACACTTTGTAAACACAATCAATCACCAAACCTACTTTCGTAAAGCCTTGTGACTCTGCTGAGTATACCGTGACACTACAATAACAACACACCATATCCAACTTCTTATATTGAGGCCACACAACAAGAACTAATCATGGCATTATTTGCAAATCTTCTCTTGTCCCAAATTTAAAAGATACGCACGCGCGGTGGATAAACTTGACACTGCGCTCGCTCACTGCGCTTTGCACCGCGCATAGGTAGGTATTCAACCGATTCAACGGCGGGAGCGGTCATTGCTCCCGACCGCTCGTCTTCTGTTTTTACGTTTTTTTAGTAGTGCTAATTAGTTGTTTTTTACTTACTCTGTATGAGTGTTTAAAAAGAATAATTATTTAGTACCCAAAAGGAGATTAAAATATAACAAAAAAAAAAACGAAATTTTATTTTAAATCATTTTTAAAAAATCCGAAAAAATTCAGAGATACTCTATATACGTAACCCAATAATCCCACGAAGTTTCATTGAAACATTCAATTTCACCCTGTATATTAATACTTTGTGTGTGTGTTCCACCGTGTAGATACGTGGGTTAGCCACAACTGTTGTATTTACGCTACAACTGTTAGCTACCTGCTGAGAGTCTTTTCCTTGTATATTATGGGTTTCTTGACGCGTCTCGAGCGATTAACAATTTTTGCGTCATTATAATTGGTTTCTTGGCCCGTCTGGAGCGCCCCACGGCCGGCTCGGTGACGCTGTCGTGGATATTTCGCGATAACTGTAGTACTTACGATCTGTCACGATAAGTATGGTTCGTACTTATTGAGAGGTCATATGTCGCTATAACTGTAGTACCTACGATATGTCGCTAAAATTGTGGCACCTATCTGTTGAAGGGCTTATATGATGAATTTCTTGGCCCGCCTCGAGCGGCTCCGCTGGCTCCGTGACGTTGTCGTTACGATTGTCGCCATAATTGTGGCACCAACAATATGTCGCTACAACTACTACAACTGCGGCACCTACCTGTTGAGAGGTTTCTCCTTGTATATAATGGGTTTCTTGGCGCGCCTCGAGCGATTGACAATTTTTGCGTCATATATCGCTATAACTGTAATACTTACATTTGTCGCTACAACTGCGGCACCTACCTGTTGAGAGGCTTCTCTTTGTATGTAATGGGTTTCTTAGCGCGTCTCGAGCGATTGACAATTTCTGCGTCATATGTCGCTATAACTGTAATACTTACATTTGTCGCTACAACTGCGGCACCTACCTGTTGAGAGGCTTCTCCTTGTATGTAATGGGTTTCTTAGCGCGTCTCGAGCGATTGACAATTTCTGCGTCATATGTCACTATAACTGTAATACTTACATTTGTCGCTACAACTGCGGCACCTACCTGTTGAGAGGCTTCTCCTTGTATGTAATGGGTTTCTTAGCGCGTCTCGAGCGATTGACAATTTCTGCGTCATATGTCGCTATAACTGTAATACTTACATTTGTCGCTACAACTGCGGCACCTACCTGTTGAGATTTCGATTGGTTGAAAACTTTTCCGTCATATTTCGCTATAACTGTAGTACTTACGAAATGTCGCTACAACTGTTACTTACCTGTTTAGAGGCTTTTCCTTGTATATTATGGGTTTCTTGGCCCGCCTGGAGCGCCCCTCGGCCGGCTCGGTGACGCTGTCGTGGCTGTCGCGCGACGAGGCGCTGTCGCTGCGATTGTCGCGGTTGGTGTCGCGCGTCGTGTCGCGTCTACGACTGCTTGTGTTCACGCCACTTCCGGTCGCGGCGTCAACGTCAACGCTCCCGTCGCCGCTACCATTCAGGCCCCTCTCCTCTTGTAATGCTTCGCTAAACATTTTAAAAGAATAAATATATAAGGCTGCCCAAGACTAAAGTGCGGCTAAGTGACATTGTCGATTTAATAGGGTATTTGACAAGTTTTAGAAAACGATCTCACGTTATTGTCTAATGTTTGTGGAGTCCGTAAAAAGTGGATATTCATCATTCTGTTGTGTATTTCAGTAAAAATAACCAAAACAAAAACTCTATTTTCAAGTTGCCGCGAAAAGTTTCTCTGGACAATATGGCGTCACACTGATGTGTAACGATACAATGTAATGTCACTTAACCGGAAGTTTACTTGCGTGTGACGTCATTTTAGGCTCCGCCAATCCCAAGCGTTTTGTGTCACGTGACAATAGACAAGAAAACTATTATCTCTATCGTGGGTTTTTAGTAAAATTATGAATATTTTTTCTGTAAACATAGTAAAAACCCCTGCCAATATTCATTCTAAATACAGATACTAACAATTGGCACTTTATTTCTAATACTGTCAAATACCCTATTGTTGAGTATTTATTGAGTGAAGTGATTATTGCATATCCTTCGAATATTATCTTACTTTAGGCCTGCGCAGACGAGGAACAATTGTTACACAACGTAATCTGAGAATATTTAGTACCAAAGATTGCTCTTTTCAAATTTTTGGGGGGACAGCTGTTCGCACATTGTGTGCGATGAGTCCGTGACAAGTCCTCGGCAGACATTTTTTCCACGATTGAGGGACTTTTGTCTTCGGCGGACTAATCCTTCGTCAGCGCAGGCCATTAATATTATAAATGTGAAGTAACGTTAAAAACTACTTAACGTATTTTAATATAAAATAAGATAAAAACTAAGAAATAGGAGAAGTCGAAGTAGGAGAGACGAAAGACAAGAAGCTAATATTTTATTTAAGACAAGTAATTTGGTGTAGTTTACAACAATACAACAATATTAAATACAAGCCGCGCCAATAAAGAAACGAATCGAAAATGGCGTCTATGTACCTGCACTGACAGATGGTAGGGTCAACAAATAAAAAGAAAGAAAAAGTTGTTTATTTGGTAATATCGAGACAGTGCGAGAACAAAGTCAGAACCGATATTTTTTTGGCATGCAGTACGCGCCGTGTGCGACTTAATACAGCAATAGTTTAGAGTGAGAGCGCATGATCGCCGCCGCCATTTTAGATTCATTTCTTTATTGGCACGGCTTATACCCTAGATAAGATACACCACGCGTTCTCGAAATGTGTCCCAATCAAGAAGTGCTTGAACACGACTCACGACGCACTTCTTGGTTTACAGTCACGCGCGGACCGTTAAAAATTCAAGATGCCGTAGAGCTCCGTGACAAAATGCGAAAAAATTAATTACCGTAAATGAGGGTTACTTTAGCTCGGGCGGGTAACTTTGTCCCAAATCAGAAAAAATACTGAACTTGCCGCCCCATCAGTATCTCTTGGGTGACCGTAAGGTTCCCACCCAATTTCAGTTGAAAATCACAGATAGCCATATAGGTGTGTAGTGTGGTGTTATTTTACCGACATCGTTCCTGTATCAAGTTGTCATTGTAACGCGGGATTTTTGTAACTGAAATAGTTCGCAAGTTCATGCGCAAACTTTCTCAAAACTGTGGTTTTCGGTAAGTTTACTATTTTTTCTAAATTTAAAGTTATATTTTTTATTTAACTTAATTATTTTTGGCCAAAAACATCCATTTGTGTATTCAGTATGCTAATGGTGATCTGTTATAAGGGTTACTTAACCCCAACATGGCTTAAAATGAGTTTTTTTCACAGAGAAAACTCAACGAGCTAAAGTAACCCTCTTTAAGGCCAACTTTGGCCCAAAATTAAAACAATATATATTAACCCTTAAATATTATTTTTTCCTATTTTCGTATGATAACTTTGTAACTTATACTTTAAAGTTCACAATGGAAAGATATAAACGTGACATTTTCATCATAAAGAGAAGCTACAATTTGATTTGAAAAAAAAAAGTACACACTTTAGGTCAAAGTAACCCGCAACTCGGTATAGTAAACAGAGAGTCGTTTTTTCGACAGGTATCTATTCAATGTTTGTTTATTTAAGGCATTTGAAGCAAACTTTGTTCAATACTTACTATAAACTGATTTAATATAAAATTCTGTGATATCCAAATGCAAAGTCGGTAATATAGCCGTCTCTTTTTTTCGCGGCCCGTACCTGCTATATTGCACACAGCGCATTCAGAAATGCGCGTATAGTCAAAGAAATAAGGTCTAAATTCTTCCGCATATAGCAATTAGTCGTAAAATTTTACGAGCCTGCACTTCGAACTGTCATATGATTCGAACTATTTGACGCATGCGTTTTAATTAAGACGTTATACAATATGCATTAAAGTTGACTTCCAATGTTTAAATAATACCTTATATTGATTTGACTACGCGATCATCTTCCGTGGCTCCGTGGATCGTCGAATGTACCTTTTGGGCAGGTATCGGCCACGATTTTGTTCGTGTTGTTGTATCTAGGGTATATCGTTACTAGTAACGCCTTAGTCACGTAGCAGTAAGAGCTATATTCGTCAAGCTACACATAACCACTGTCATGACCTTAAAGTAACTAACTTTTATAACGTTGTTTATGACAATTAACGTCACCAATTGGCGCTACTGTGACGTGAGGTCTTATGTATGAAGTTATCTTGAACTAATCGAACGGGTGTTTAAATTGATCCATAGACTATTTAGATATACGCGATTTGGTGGGTCGGATGAGTAGATCGTCATTCCAGAAAACCTTCATTAACTTTGAGTAACATTTATATGCCACACGCAATCAATTTTTTTCTTACAGAATACTAATCACCCGCTATTAATAGGTATCTAGGTTATTTAATATCGTTGGTAGTATAGTATACTTAAGATACGATGACCCCCGCGTCCGTGGTCCCGTTGGGGCTGGGCGCGTCGAACCGCATCTGCTTATGTCTCGCGGCACAGGCCTTCCCGTCGCTCTCTCGGCACAGGCCTTCCCGTCGCTCGACGCGTCGGGAAGGCCTGTGCCCCAGCAGTGGGGACATTAATAGGCTGATGATGATGATGATAGTATACTTACGACACGATGACCCCCGCGTCCGTGGTCCCGTTAGGGCTGGGCGCGTCGAACCGCATCTGCTTATGTCTCGCGGCACAGGCCTTCCCGTCGCTCTCTCGGCACAGGCCTTCCCGTCGCTCGATGCGTCGGGAAGGCCTGTGCCCCAGCAGTGGGGACATTAATAGGCTGATGATGATGATGATAGTATACTTACGACACGATGACCCCCGCGTCCGTGGTCCCGTTAGGGCTGGGCGCGTCGAACCGCATCTGCTTATGTCTCGCGGCACAGGCCTTCCCGTCGCTCGATGCGTCGGGAAGGCCTGTGCCCCAGCAGTGGGGACATTAATAGGCTGATGATGATGATGATAGTATACTTACGACACGATGACCCCCGCGTCCGTGGTGCCGTTAGGGCTGGGCGCGTCGAACCGCATCTGCTTATGTCTCGCGGCACAGGCCTTCCCGTCGCTCGACGCGTCGGGAAGGCCTGTGCCCCAGCAGTGGGGACATTAATAGGCTGATGATGATGATGATAGTATACTTACGACACGATGACCCCCGCGTCCGTGGTCCCGTTAGGGCTGGGCGCGTCGAACCGCATCTGCTTATGTCTCGCGGCACAGGCCTTCCCGTCGCTCTCTCGGCACAGGCCTTCCCGTCGCTCGACGCGTCGGGAAGGCCTGTGCCCCAGCAGTGGGGACATTAATAGGCTGATGATGATGATGATAGTATACTTACGACACGATGACCCCCGCGTCCGTGGTCCCGTTGGGGCTGGGCGCGTCGAACCGCATCTGCTTATGTCTCGCGGGCGGGGGAGTCCCGCGCTGCACTCGCTTGGGCGGGGACGCGTCGCACGACCCGTCGCTCGACGCGTCGCCCGACCCGTCGCCCGGACCGCCCCCCGCGTCGAGACGCATCTTGGCCAGTACCACTTTTAGGACGCGGCCGCTTATATTGCTATCAAAGTGAACATTAAATTCGAATTAGAGAGGAACTAGCAAACCAGTGAACCAAATGTTCACCAAAAAAAAAAGTTTTTAATTAATTGAGAACTTTGGAGATTTTGTGTGGTTTCGTTTGAAATAGAAATCACGTGATTTCTCGAAAACCGGAAGTGCTACGTTACTCAAATCCGGTTTGTAGTCTTATCAGACTATTCTTAACTTATAACTTAAACATTCTCTTTATCTATCTCTTACGGTTTGGCCGCTGAAACAGCACCACGGACGGACGGACGGACTTGTCTATTAGATAAGAGATTACATTTAAATGAGGAGCTTGCCTTCCCTCTTATGTTGCGAACGAAGAAAATCATAGTCTGTATAATGCGATTCAAATAAGCATAGGAAAGCGAATGACCTCCATCTGTCAAATGTCGCTTGAAAAGTACGGTTTGCAAAAAAAATTTTGAACACTTTTTTAGCACTCAGCTGATTCTAGAATAAAAACCAAGCATTTTTAAACAAACAATTACAAATGTTGATGATGAATATTGTTTGTTTCTTTTTTTCACTTATTGAGTATATTGAGGCTATGAATGGTTGATAACCTATATCGTCAACCAAATGTCACTTTATGTTGCGTTCAGAAACTCGATTTAAAACGTTTGTTTACATATAGGATGCATGTTCGTATGTGACCTGCATGATTATTCATAACTTCTCCGGCGGTAATGCAGAGATGAGCGAAATTGAAGAGCTAGATTCTGATTCATGTTTTTTTCACACAGTCTTAATAAAGAAATACTATTAAAAATCGGTTGTGTGCTTTCTCAACCAAAGTAAATTAATTTTATTAAAAAATCTGATGTTTTGTCTCACTTAGTCTTAGTAAATAAGTTTTATTAAATAGCAAAATTTTTTTGCTCACTCTACCCACTTGGTTTGAATTGACAGCTATGACGTCAAAATATAGCACCCAGTCGGTCCTATTCTTAGTTGAATCGCATTATAGGTCTTTCTGTTACCTCTTCACGCTTAAACCAACTTAGATGAGGTTTTGATATAGTTTGAATCCCGACATACAACCCGATTATATTATCTGTGGACCTGGCGTCTTGACGTCACATCAGCGCTCTGGTACGAAAATGCTAGCTAGACGTAAGCAAACGCCCTAAAAGCGCAGGGAGGTGAAAGAGGAACAGGAAGGAGCTTCACATTCCAGCAAGATCCACAGATAATGTGACCGAGTTGTAGGATTGCTTTTGTTCATCCTTTAAGAGGTGGAAGTTTTTATGGGAAATAAATTGAATCACGCAGGCAAAGTCGCCGACACTCACTAGTGTTTATCTATGTCTCTGCTGCGTGAGTGTCGACTAAGTAACACGTCATAGTTAGTGCGGTGACCTATATTTCATTCTGATTGCGCGTGGGCACGTCAAAGGAAGAAGAGGTGTAGGAGAGGACGGTGAAATATAATAATAATAAATTTTTCTAACACTCGCACCAATTACCCGAGCCCCAAAGTAAGCACTGTAGGCTTGTGTTATGGGATATTAAGGTAACGGATAGAATACATTGATACATATACAGGGTTAATTTTAAAACACCAACAAGCTCTTAGGGGGTGATTCTGCCCATCAACAGGAACAACTTTTATTATGGGACCAACGCTGAAACACGAAAAAAAAATCTGCTGTTTCATACAAAAGTGTATCAGCTAATCGACCGAAATGTATGAAACGGAGGACTGCCGAGGACAGGAATACGTGGAAAGTACATCAGGTGGTCAACGTTGCCAAGTTAGACACGACCTTCAGCAATGAAAATAGCGACTAAGAAGAGATATTATAGATACACCACTAATATAACTTATACATAATACGCTCACACTTAATCAAAAATTGTTTAATCGTTTTTGTTCCGTTCAGTCGATTACTCACCACAATAGCTGTAGTCAAACTTATTCACCTGTATTAAATTTAAAATACAATCTTGCAAAGTATCAACCGAGGAATCACTAACCCTGATAATACAGTTTTTACTCGTTTCTGGGTTAGGGGTTAATTTCTTGAGCTTTTTGTATGTATACCCCTAGACTTAATTAGACTAATAGTTACTTAAAATGTGAAATGCTGGGTTATGAGTAAATTACCATTATTATCACTACATAGTATAAAGCAAAGTCGCTTCCCGGTGTCTGTCCCTATGTCCCTATGTGTGCTTAGATCTTTAAAACTACGCAACGGATTTTGATGCGGGTTTTTTTAATAGATGAGTGAGACGAGATAGATACACGAGTGATTCAAGAGGAAGGTTTATATGTACAATACATGCATAATATTGTAGAGAAACATTAATAATTTTAGAGGCTTTAAATGTAAGGGTGTAAATAAACACATTTTTTTGCGCTTACATTGCAAACGCTGGCCGAACTCTACGAGATAGATCAAAATAATGTACTACAGTATTGTACACCTTAAAAAGGTCTGCAAAACAGTCCGCGATGGTATATTTCTATCTCTTAGGGATAACCCACAATAACCATTTTTTATTCTATACTTTTTACGAGAAATAATAGATTATTTACGAAGCGATTTTCAGCAATTTAACATTCATCCTTATCCAATAAGTACCTTAAATACATTTAGCATTTAATAAAGCCCAATTTGGCCTTTTAACGCATGTAATTTAAATGAATATTTTCGAAGATATTACAGATTTAAAATGCAGGGACATAGCGGTTCCGACGCTACCGGGCGCGGGGCTTGGCGGCGCGTGCCTATTGTTACTAGGTCTTAGAAGTATGTCATTGCGTATAATACAAGCCTGAGAACAAAAACTATAGTCTACACTACAGTTCTACACCGAAGCGAAGCGAGGGCGGGCCGCTAGTTATTATCTAATATATAAAATTCTCGTGTCGCGGTGTTTGTGGTTAAACTCCTCCGAAACGGCTTTCCCGATTCCCGTGAAAATTGGGTAGGTCTGAAAATCGGACATCTATTTTTCATCCCCCTAAATGTTAAGGGTAATCCACCCCTATTCTTTTTTTTCAATTATAGACTTTTTTTTTTTATTTTTTTAAGATAATTCATACAAAAATACATACAAACCTAAATTTAGACCCTTCTACCACTAACCCCTATTTTTTTATGGCGGTACGAAGTTCGCTGGGGCAGCTAGTTATATTATAACAAGAGATATTACCTCGGTCTCCGCTGAGCGAGTCGCGGCGACTGCGTTGGCGGCGAATCTATCCTTGGCGAGTTTATTCTTGACGAGTCCATCTGCGGCGGCGAGGATGTACGTTTCCTACGTCGCACGGTGGGTGAGAAGTGTCGCACGGTGGGTGACAACTGTCGCACGGTGGGTGACAACTGTACTGAGAGCGTCGGCGGGCACACATTAACGCGAGAGCTCGCTCCCGCGTCGCTAATTGCACTCGTTGTAGCCACAGGCGACTTCTGTTGAACACAATTTTGATGTGAAACATTTTTTGGTGCACGTAAAACCGATCTCTGGCATGACTAAGAAACTCGAGTCTCTACAATTACGCCGTGATGTGGCATCATTAAGCTCATTCTCCCGACTATACCACGGCGAGTGTTCTGAGGAGCTATTCTCGCTTATCCCTGAATCACCTTTTCTTCAGAGGACCACGCGCGCTGGCCTACGTTGCCACCGACTTACTGTGGCCACTATTCCTACACGAACAAAGAAATTTGGCGACTCATTTCTTTGTCGTACTATTCGTAAGTGGAATTCTTTACCCGCGCACGTGTTCCCTCCTTCCTATAATCAGGGGTCCTTTAAGAGAGGCGTGAAGAAGCATTTTTGCAGGCCGGCAAGGTGAGGTTGGTTGGTGTAGCAGTTTATAACTGCTGTACCAGCTATCTTCGCGTTTGGACTTTATTACCACATAACATCAGGTGGGGTAAATTCATTTGCCTACAAAATTATTAAAAAAAAATGGCGACGCTCGTCGATCTGTATCCTTAGCACGAACCAATATCGAATTCGTAACGTTTGCGAGTATGAAATGTCATTGTTTACTTTTTCCTCTTGACGGCGGTTTTATATATTTCATTCCTTGTACTCGTTTCCAAGTTGCATGTGGAAATTTATAGAATTTCTGATCACTGTTTTTGCCATTGTTCAATGCAATTAATCGTTCATGTATAGTAAGTATGCAGTAGGTTTCAAACTCAAACCATTTATTGCAACCATAATGTGTACAGTGGGTGGGTAGGTACTTAAGATATGAGCATTATGGACCCCGTCGGGCACGCAATTGGTTAGAAGAGAGGATGAGCTTCCCAAATGAACAACACTACAATTATATTTTAAGAGCATCTGTTCGAAAGGGGCTATTTCCATGCTAAGTAAATGTTGATAAAATTTTAAAAACGTATGCTGATTTGATGATCTACGTGGAGTGTACTTTTTTATTCAGGTAATTCATGAGGGGGCCACTTATTTTTAGGGTAAATTTATTTATTATTGTAATTATTAAAAAGCACAATTAAAAATGGTAATAGCACTTTTTGGTCGGATATTCGGAAAATAGCATCTATTGATCAGGAATGATAGTAGCATCAACAAATAAACTTTTTGAAAGTTATTTGGTTTTAATGGGAAGCTACATTTATGACAAAATATATAAAATAACTTGGCATTACTTTATAACATAAAAAAAAACATACAAATTTGATAGAGTTTGCCATAATGCATGTTTTTTTTTATCTTAAAAAGTAATGACAAATAATCAAAGCCAAGTTGTTTTATATATTTGTCATAAAAGTAGCTTCCAATTGAAAAAAAAAAATCAAAAAGTTTGACAAAAACATATTTTGTGTTGAACAAAAACTTTTAAATGAGCTAAAAATAGCACCGTTTGAATAGAACCGCGAATTTAAGTACAAATTTGAAGGGGAAATAATCAATTTCGATGAAGACTAAACACAGCCTGTGATAGGATCTTAGAATACCAGTAGAATTCACGAAAAAAAAACTTTAAGTCAGTAAATACGGAAATAGCCCCCTTTGAACAGACGCTCCTCAATTGGAAGATAAATATTGTTTTATATGTATGTATGTAGAGGCTCTCTCTTTTAGAGATAAGCCCACCTTTGCTTACTATGTAATCTTAATATATATAAATCTCGTGTCACAATGTTTGTCCTCAATGGACTCCTAAACCACTGGACCGATTATAATAAAATTCGCACACCATGTGCAGTTCGATCCAACTTAAGAGATAGGATAGTTTAAATCTCAAATTATAGTCGCAATTTTAATTTATTGCAAATTATTACTTTTGGGCGGTACGAAGTTCGCCGAGTCAGCTAGTTGACTATATGTTTTAACTATATGATGCAATAAAGAGTATAATATGTTTCGTGACGCATTTTATTTATTTTTACATAAAATGAACGGATACGTAAATTTTATATGTAAAAAGTGACAGTTGTTCTGCCGAAAGTTCCTTTTTTCGCCGCGGTGCGCGCTGCCATCGATTCTTGCTTCCCCCACCTCCCACTTTACTACTACGAATTCCAATCGGGACTCGCCGTGAAGACACATAGATGAAAGATAGATCGTGTCATTATCATCAACATCAGCCTATTAAGAGCCCTTTCACATTTTTAGCAAAAATACCTAATTTTTGAGCGCCTCGTTTACCCCCTTAGAAAAGATTTTGACTATTTCCAATAGAAGTAAACAGTAGATTTATTCTTCCTATTGTAAGTTAATGTAGAATATTTGCAAATACTATTCTCCTTTTTTTGTACTGATCGTTCTACTGCAGCTAGTCTACGGAAAAAACGATAATAGGTATGCACAACTTCAAACGCCTCAATCTCTCAATAATGTTCAATAAATTAGATCAAATTAATTACTACGACATCAGAAATATGTTTCTGTTGTAACATAATGTATTAGAATTTAGATTTTCCATCTCATTAATTATCAAAAAAACATCTAAGCTCCGTGAGTTTTCCCAAAAATAATGCAGATTTACCTCGACTATTTTGATATTGAATTAAATAGACTTAGTATCAAAAACTTTCATAAAACGAATCTACCATCATTGAACTACTGAAATTTGTATATATTTTTTATAATTAGTTCATTAATAATTATTTTATAAGACTCGAAACATAACCCGTAAAATGCAATATATACTAGTGCAAATCTTACTACGTGCCGATCAGTACGGCAGCGGCGCATTTTTGTAAAAGGGCTCTTAATGTGGGGCACAGGCTTTCCCTATGGATGGAATAGGGAGATTGGGCCATGGCATACCACGCGGGTCCATTGCGGATTGGCGGGTGCTAACGACTGCAGATGCAGCCGGGACCAACGGCCGAATTAGAGAAAGAAGATTTGTGGTCACCCATCCAATGACCGACCACTGCGAAAGTTGCTTAGCTACAACGATCGCAGCCGAACGCGCTTACCACTTGCGCCATCGCTCCTCTAGATCGTGTCTCTATAGTAAATAATTACATAATACCTGCGCATGCGTCTCATCGGGCTCGGTAGTAGAGTCGGGCTCCAGGGTGCTGCGGCCTGCCGTTCCGGGGGACTCCTGGACGACAATATTATATATATATAACTTTACAATATTATATATTTAGCTTTGAGGAGGTCGTCTCCGTGGTCGAGTGGTTTGTACGCCGGGTTTCATGGTGTCACCGACTCGAGAGGTCCCGGGTTCGAATCCCGGTGGGGGCAGATGTTTGTGTGATGAATACGAGCATTTGTACTCCAGTCATGGATGTTTAATATGTATTTCTATATAAATATACTTACATATGTACTGTATATGTATTCTATCCCTTACCCTAGTATCCCATAACACATGCCTTACAGTGCTTTCTTTGGGGCTAGGCTAATTGGTGTGAGTGTTGGAATTATTTATAATTATATTTATTATTTATAACTAATATTTTGTCATAATTCACTATAATTCATACTATTCCAGTTTATTATACCTATTTCTTTCAAGCATTTAACTGCTAGATATTTTTTTTCAACACTCACACCAATAGGGTATTTGACAAGTTTTGAACAAAGATCTCACGTTATTTACTAATGTTTATGGAGTCCATAAAAAGTGGATTCATCATTCTCTTGGGTATTTCAGTAAAAATAACTACATGAATCAAAAACTCAATTTTCAAGTTGCCGCGAAAACGTATCTCTGGGCAATATGACCTTCTCACTGGTGTGTGACGTCACACGGCTGTCATTATAACGTCAAACGAAACAATGTAATGTCACTTTGACCGGAAGTTTACTAGTGTGTGACGTCATTTAAGCTCCGCGAATCCCAGTCGTTTTCAATCACGTGACAATAGATATGAAAACTATTACCTTTTTAGTGGGTTTTTGGTAGAATTATCAATATTTTTTCTGTAATAATAGTAAAACCCCTGCCAATATTCATTCTAAATACAGATGCTAACAATTAGCACATTATTTTTATAACTGTTAAATACCCTATTAGCCTAGCCCCAAAATAAGCACTATAAGGCTTGTGTTATGGGATGCTAGGGTAAAGGATAGAATACATATATAAGTATATTTATATAAATACATATTAAACATCCATGACTGGAGTACAAATGCTCGTATTAATCACACAAACATCTGCCCCCACCGGGATTCGAACCCGGGACCTCTCGAGTTGGCGACACCATGAAACGCATTCGCCAGTTTACCTCCAAGTTAAGCTTAAATTGTTCATTGTTTACTGATGAGTCACCGGTGACACTTTTCGTAACGCGTAACGCATTCGCCAGTTTACCCCCCAAGTCAAACGTGCCTAAAGATGTTTCACTTCAAAAAACATGTTAAATAAAAGTATATATAAGACGTCACTTATCCAATAGATTATGGGTGTATTCCGATTTTTTTTTTTTTTTTTATAGATAGGTCCGACAAATGACTCCACCCCACCTGATGGTAACTGAAGGTGAAGTCCAAACGCTAAGATAGCTGATACAGCAGTTCTAACTGCCACACCAGCCATCCTCACCCTGCCGGCCTGCAAGTTGCTTCTTCACGCCTCTTTTAAAGGATCCCAGGTTGTAAGAGGGAGGGAACACGTGATGAATCAAACACCAGTACGCTGGCCAGTGGTAATGACGTCATGATTTCGACACCATATATTTTGGAATACACCCTATAAGTGTTCTCTTGGACCACGAAGAGAAATCATAAAATTCTGCCAAAATTAAGTGATCATGATCACAGATCTCTGTGAGAGAAAGATTACGGAGTTCCTTCATACCGTAATACAATATAATACAAATATATATAAATACCTTCCTGTTGTCTGGTATGTCCAACAACCAACTAGGTCCCTCCAATGGATTTTCTATACTATTCCTGAAAATAAACCGACGAAATATTAAACAATTTCAAAACTTAAATAAAACAAGTTTCAACAGTATAGATACACTATAATAGTCGCCTGAATTATGATTTTATTTACTTTGTCGAACGCTCAATAAAAGTCTGCCGAAGGTAGCTCACCTTCGACAGACTTTTATTGAGAGTTCGGATATTTCATTGGAAGATTTTTAAAACTTTATTGTCTATGTATGAATTTATTAGCTAATTTTATTAATAAAATACTTGAATTCTTTTTTATAATAGGGTATTTGACAGTATTAAAAATAAAGTGCCAATTGTAAGCATCTGTGTTTAGAATGAATATTGGCAGGAGTTTTTACTATTTTTACAAAAATAATATTCATAATTTTACTAAAACTCACGAAAAAGATAATAGTTTTCTTATCTATTGTCACGTGAACCAAAACGCTTGGGATTGGTGGAGCCTAAAATAACGTCACACGCAAGTAAACTTCCGGTTAAAGTGATATTACATTGTATCGTTTGACGTTTTAATAACAGTCGTGTGACACACACTAGTAAGACTCCATATTGTCCAGAGGAACGTTTTCGCGAAAATGAAAACGGAGTTTTTGATTTGGTTATTTTTACTGAAATACACAAAAGAATGATGAATATCCACTTTTTACGGACTCCATAAACATTAGTCAATAACGTGAGATTGTTTTCTATAACTTGTCAAATACCCTATTGTGAGTTTATTTATTTGACCCTAACTACCGTAATCTACCACCAGTTCCAAAATTGGGTGACCTTTCTGAGAAGAACTGGCGAAAAAAACTCAGAGAGGCTTCTTTAATGACTGAAAAAATTATAAAAACCAGAATATTAAAACTTTATCATTTAAATATGTGACATTAATAACTGGCTGATCCGGCGAACATCGTATCATAACGCCAGATTTTAACCGTTTATTTTTTTAAATTTTCTTGTATGCAGACAAAAACGAAAACAGGAAAAAGGAATAGGGTATTTAACAAGTTTTAGAAAACGATCTCACGTTATTTACTACTGTTTATAGAGTCCATAAAAAGTGGATATTCATCATTATGTTGTGTATTTCGGTATAAAAACTAAATCAAAAACTCTATTTTCAAGTTGCCGCGAAAAACGTATCTCTGACAATATGGCGTCTCACTGGTGTGTGACGTCACACGACTGTCATTAAAACGTCAAACCATACAATCTAATGTCACTTTAGCCGGAAGTTTACTTGCGTGTGACGTCATTTTAGGCTCCACCAATCCCAAGCGTTTTGGGTCACCTGACAAAAGACAAGAAAACTATTATCTTTATCGTGGGTTTTTAGTAAAATTATGAATATTTTTTCCGTAAAAATAGTAAAAACTCCTTCCAATATTCATTCTAAATACAGATGCTAACAATTGGCACTTTATTTTTAATACTGTCAAATACCCTATTAAACAATTTGGTGCAGTTGTTGCCAAGTTAATCGCGTACATAAATTTTGGAGATATATTTTCATTCATTTCATCATATTTAATTAGAAAGATAGAAGAAGCACATTTACCTCGATGGTGGGGACGCCATTGGCATTTCATCCTCTGGTTCCAATTCTTCTGTGACCGCATCCAATCTTCCACTGTAAAATATTAACATATTCAATTGTTTAGCTTATGTTAAGCTATACTAGAAAGTCTAAAACGTGGATTTTAGTTATCAATCTTAACCGCTAAGAAAGTTTTCCCTAGTCTTTATTTTAACTATATTCAAATTTAACTATTAATGAAACAATGAAGTCTTAAAAATTCAGTTCACATTGCATCTGTTTCATAAGTTTAGGTTCTTAATAGTTTAGGAGATAACATTGAACTAAAACTATTACTGCCCGTATTTTTTTTCACTTACAAAACTTGACAAAGATTTATGATTCTTTAAGCTGCGTATTCAATAGGCAACATTTGTTTAAAAACAGTGTTTCACAATGTTGCATCACCTCTGTACACAGTTTCGAAACAGTTTATAAACAAAGTCGATGACACATTGTTTCAAATAGATGTTGCCATATTCTCCCCTCTGAATGGAGACCAAGACGAAACAGTTTATAAATAAAATTTGACAGGTGTGGACAAGTGTTGCGGGTAATGTATTTAAGCATGGACGTAGTGTGATCCAATGACGAAGTTCCGCAGCTCATGCTCCTAGTATGATCCTGCTGTTAATTGTTTTGACACTTTAAAAATTTATGACGGTACGACATATGAGTCACATGTTGCAAGAAATAAGTTTGAATCAAATAAACTGAATAGGATTCCGAAATTTCGTTTCCTGTCTTGTTTAATGGCCCAATCAATGTCAATAATATTTCAAAATCAGTTTTGATATTCTAGTGAAATTATGAAAAGACCCATCATTACTGCGAAAATCATCAAATACATAACTTCTATTTAAAGTGTAATTTCCATTGAGCCCACCACCCTTTTCTCTTTTTTTCTTGTAGTACTCTCATGAATTACTGCGTAAGTGGCACAGAGCAACACTACCTCCTCGGGCAACATCCTAGCAACGAGTGACTAGTGTGGACGGCAAAGATTCAGAGACAGCGTTTACAGTAAACTTGTTTATAAACAATGTAACGTCGTATCTACGCCGTCACATACATAGATAAATAATATATGGTTTGACATCCGTCACTTAAGGATTTTCCCTATTTTTTTTTAATAAACGAAACACATCTTTAAAAATGGTCTTAATTTCATAAAACATTAAAATAAATACGTAATAATTGTTATTCTAAATTTAAGAAAACTTTTGTAATTTATGGTTAGTCCATGCCCAAATTTAAATTTTAATGCGCCAACACTGAGACTCGCGGCGTTTTTTTGGAAGTGCGACCTGGCAACATTACTTTTCGGTTCTTTGCAGACACGATCAGTCACTTTTAAAAATGTGAAATATAATAATAATTTATAGTTCGGTTTCTTTTTCCAAAAATGCGCTCATCGCATTTTTGCAAACTAATATTGGTGCCAATGGCCCATTAGTAAAACTTTAAAAGAGCTGCGATTGCAGGTAAGAATTAAGATTAAAATTGTCATACATAGGTATATCTAGCCATGTTGCCTGGTCTCACAAATGTCTCTTTTGTTTCAGCTCTTTATCTTGTCTTTATACTCTTTAAGTGATCTTTATACTCTTTCTAATCTTTATAAATATCATTTTGATATCTTTGACCATGGACCAGCCATAATAGTCTAAGTAAATCCGATACTTAATGTACTTTGACGCCTGGAATCCAATCTGGTATGTACACTTTCACAATAAATAATTGAAGAGGAAAACACCTTTATCATTCAACCCTAGTCAAAACTGCCTTTGAGATTAAAAGCTGATGTTCCCGTAAGTTATTCCGGACACCTGGAGACGCTACCAGCTTCCCGGCGCCCGTTACAACTCTCACTTTAAATGGAAGCTGAGAAGCTAAATCGGCTACCATCACCCGGCCATCGCCTCCAGAATTTTTCGTTCTTTTTTTGAAATAACTAACTATATAAATAATTTACACAGTTTTTTTTATTTTTTTACCTTACAATGTCGCCTCTCACATAGGGACAATGTTGTCTCACATAGGGACAGGATTTTGACTAGGATATTTTGTAACTTTGTAAGTGAAATATAGTTATTTTGCTATATCCATCATAACTTTCACATTTTGCTTAACATAAATTTATTAATTTTTCACTTTTGAACTGAATGTTATTATCACATAACATTCATCGAGTAACTTTTTCCATTTTTGCTTCAAAGCTTTGTTTTGGCAAGCTTATAGCCATATTTTACTTTCATTATAAACTAATTTGCTATTATGTAATTAGTACATAATATATTTTAGAATAAATAGATTCTGAGAAGAAAATGTGATGCTAATAACCGTTCACACAACTTTCTTTGACCATATTTTGAGATTTGACAAATTATTTGCAAATAGTCATTGCATAATATTGTTGTTTTGTTATTTAATGTGCATTTCAGCTTTCAGCAAGAAATAAATATTGTTTCATGCATAATTTACTTGTGTTAACCTATCATTTACAGAATTGTGTAAACTTAATATAAGTTCAAGTAAGTACATGTGTTTATTACTAAGTGTTTACTGAAAATAGTTTAATTGTTTAATCCTGTTGTTAATCACTTATGCACAGTGTCTATTAATCAGTTTTCTATGCAATTGATAATGCAAAATTAACTTTTTTTACAACAACAATACATAACAAGTTTTATTACATGTCAAACTTAAGTTTTGTACATTGAAGTTCAAATGTTTTGATATAGTATCAGGTTAATTCTGATATTATACTGGTTAATTCATATTCCTGAGTAACTATTATTGTTTAATTTAACTGTAGGTTTCCATAAACATTGCATTTAACTTTTCAATTTGTCAATAAATTTCCACTTAAACTTTCATTGCAAATCTTAGTATACAATGATATAACTTTTATTGCATTAAGTGTTTGTTTACAAGAATTAGTTCTTGGTAATTCTTATTTTTATTGAATAATTGATAATATTATTGGAATTTAACCTTAAATTAATGTCAGTTTTATAAAAACAACTTAAATTTATTGGAAAGCATTACAACTTGGTAGTTTTTGTTAAACTTACAATATAGTTTAATATTTTTCTGTGAAATAGAGAAAATAACTTAAGTCTTATAAGAATCTTACACTATGACGGATAAGGAGTGTCAAACTGATAAAATCATGGCAGGAACTTCAGACAATAAGACAATAGAAACCTGTATTTCATGTTATGTTGCAAATGATCATAGAACATGGTCTAAGTTTATTCCCCATGTTCAAAGTGCTATTAATAGTACTGTTAATTTGGTTACTAATTTTACTCCAAATTTTCTTATGTTCGGTCGTGAAGTCGTGTTGAATGGGTCCTTGCATAGATATTCTTCTATAGATGACTTGTTTGATATTAATATTGAGAAACCTGACGGTTATGGTAATTTGTTAGATTCACTTAAAGATATTTTTATTAAAGTTGTTGATAATTTAGCAAAATCTTATAAAAAGAATGCTAAATTTTATAATTCGAATCGAAAAGTCATTTCCTATGACGTTGGAGATATTGTATGGAGGAGAAACTTTGTACAATCCAACGCAATTCATTTCTTTTCTTCAAAGTTAGCACCTAAATTTGTTAAATGCAAAATAATTGAAAAAATTTCAAATAATGTTTATTTATTAAAAGATTTTGATAAGAATAGTTCTGGTAGATACCACATTAAAGATATTTTGAAGATATAACTTAGATAATTGGGCTTTTCTTCATTTTGATAGTTTCCATTTACAGTTTCACTTTCTAAATTTCACTTTGGTTCTTTTCACTTGCGTTTTGGAAACGGCCTACTTGCAAGGTGATGAATGAGGGATAAATAAAAGGTAGTAGGCATATTGAATGGTGATGTATGAGTGTTCCTGAAACGAAGAAATAGAATCTCAGTTTTAAAAAATTAAATTGGTATCACTTCATTAGGTATGTTTTTGATAATTAAATTAATTTAATAATATTCTATCTGGCAATTAGATGTTTTCACTCTTTTTTGAAGAATTTAATTTTGCTTCTAGCATCATAGGATCTTATCTTAGTTTATTTTGGATCTTCTTATTTTTATAAGATCTCATATTTTTGAGGATTTTATATAGATAACCTTTTGTTTTTAAATTTCCAAGTCTTATACGTTTTATTATTAAAAGACTTATAAACTTTTGGAGATCCTTAATACTTTATTTCTGGTCTTTATTCATTAACTAGATTAATGGATTAGAGTTCCTTGTTTCCACGTTTATTCCTTATTAGCTTCTGTTGTTCTTCCACAATAGTCTACTAATAACGTAATAATGTTTATTTCGTTTGTATAAATAGTTGAAATTTAGGGATTACTATTGAATTTACTATTTTGTAAAGTTTGTTTAGGTGTTTGTGTTTAGTCTGTAGTCTTAAGAACTATTACACGGACGCGACTTTTAGACGGACTTTCCCGTTTTACTTTTTCCCAGTCGACTTTCCTCGATCTGTAGGTACTTTTACACCTTTAGGTGTCCCCTTTTTCTCTTTTCCATCAAGTTCATACTTGATTTGGTACAATTTATTTTATAGGTTTGCTAGACATCATTAGAATGTTCTGTGTTTTTCCTACAGCTTTGCTGGAAAAAATTCGTAGTGTTAGTCTTATGACTGACATACTATTTTCCCAGACGGTGTTTTATTAATAACTCGTTCTGTTTATTTTTCCAATTTCCCAGACGATGTTTCATTAATAACTCGTTCTGTTTTTTTTTCCATTTTCCCAGACGGTGTTTCATTAATAACTCGTTCTGTTTTTTTTTTTCTCCATTTTCCCAGACGGTGTTTCATTAATAACTCGTTCTGTTTTCTTTATGCAGCTATGCGATTATTCTATGTAGGGCGAAGGAGCCGACTACATTGAATCAGTGGTATTCGATAGTGCATTAATTTTGTGATGCATTCATTTTTTTGTAGTGCATTCCTTTTGTATTTTGAAATGCATTCATTTTGTATTAGATTGCATTTAATTTTGTAGTTACTTGATCATTCTATGTAGGGCGAAGATGCCGACTGCATTGAATCAGTAGTATTCGGTAACACAATACTTATTTTTCCAACTCGATTATTATTGTGTTTGGTAATTTTTGTTTCTGCTCGATAATTTAGTGTAAGGCGAGGGTGCCGACTACTCTAAATCGGTTGAATCGGTAGAACGTTTTTTTTTTTTCTCTTTCCTATTTCCACACATTTATGTGTTAAGAATTTGAAACTTTCATAAAGTTTATTTTATTAGGAATCTTGTTTGTATTCGAATGTTTAGTGTAAGGCGATGGTGCTGACTACTCTAAACCAGAAGCGTTTCAATGCATAACAAGAAATCCTTATATTGGAATATTTTCTGCAATAAATTAATTTTAATATAACTTTTGTTTTCATATTTAAATTGACTTGCTGTTTTATATGGGGCGAGTGTGCCGACCATATTTAACCAGTTGCATGCCAGTCAATGGAAATTTTATTAGATTATTATAAAGTAATCATTTTTTTTCTTTCCTCTTTCTTTACTGTTAGGTGTAGTTGGATGTTATAAAAATAACATTCGTTATTTTTATAAAATCTAGTGGGGGGGAATTGTAACGTCGTATCTACGCCGTCACATACATAGATAAATAATATATGGTTTGACATCCGTCACTTAAGGATTTTCCCTATTTTTTTTTAATAAACGAAACACATCTTTAAAAATGGTCTTAATTTCATAAAACATTAAAATAAATACGTAATAATTGTTATTCTAAATTTAAGAAAACTTTTGTAATTTATGGTTAGTCCATGCCCAAATTTAAATTTTAATGCGCCAACACTGAGACTCGCGGCGTTTTTTTGGAAGTGCGACCTGGCAACATTACTTTTCGGTTCTTTGCAGACACGATCAGTCACTTTTAAAAATGTGAAATATAATAATAATTTATAGTTCGGTTTCTTTTTCCAAAAATGCGCTCATCGCATTTTTGCAAACTAATATTGGTGCCAATGGCCCATTAGTAAAACTTTAAAAGAGCTGCGATTGCAGGTAAGAATTAAGATTAAAATTGTCATACATAGGTATATCTAGCCATGTTGCCTGGTCTCACAAATGTCTCTTTTGTTTCAGCTCTTTATCTTGTCTTTATACTCTTTAAGTGATCTTTATACTCTTTCTAATCTTTATAAATATCATTTTGATATCTTTGACCATGGACCAGCCATAATAGTCTAAGTAAATCCGATACTTAATGTACTTTGACGCCTGGAATCCAATCTGGTATGTACACTTTCACAATAAATAATTGAAGAGGAAAACACCTTTATCATTCAACCCTAGTCAAAACTGCCTTTGAGATTAAAAGCTGATGTTCCCGTAAGTTATTCCGGACACCTGGAGACGCTACCAGCTTCCCGGCGCCCGTTACAACTCTCACTTTAAATGGAAGCTGAGAAGCTAAATCGGCTACCATCACCCGGCCATCGCCTCCAGAATTTTTCGTTCTTTTTTTGAAATAACTAACTATATAAATAATTTACACAGTTTTTTTTATTTTTTTACCTTACAACAAGGTGATGCACTTCATAAACAGTTTATCAACAAATGTTGCCTAATTAATATGCGGCATTATCAAATACTTACGATGATTCAAAATCTTCCTCTGTTATATTGTGAGATTCTTCAAGTGTCCTTTCATTGCTATCTGAAATAGAATATACCTAGATAAACAATCAGCACCACAATATTTAATTTCACTGTTACGACAGCGCCATCTAGTCACTCTAGATGAAACTAGATGGCTTGAAAACTTCGCATAATGTGTTTAGGTATCGACACTTGGAAACTAGATGGCGTTGCCGATAATGTATCATGTATATAATTAAGGATTTAAAACACTTATTATTTTTGGCTTCCAAACAGTAAACATCTAAATTACTTTACCAAATTGTCTTTCATTTGGACGCCCATTTTACATCCACTATGGAGGGCAAATTGTATAAATGATGGTAAAAATCTATCAAAAAAAATCTGATCAGTCCTTTTTAAGATCATCATATTCATACAGAAAGGCAAGATATATGTATAAAGAATAAATGTAGCATATTTTTATTATGATACTTGACGAGTGGTTAGCAGATCGGTCTGCGATTGTGGAAGTTCGCAATGGCCAGTCTTAGGATGGGTGAACACTTTGATTATCTTGCTGTGCTTGGGGAAGGTACGTTAAGTCGTTGGTCCCAGCTGCATCTGCAGTCGTTAGCACCCATTACTAAATGTGTCCATTGTCCGGTCTCCCTATTCCAACTATAGGGAAGGCCTGTGCCCCGCAGTGGGGATTTTAATAGGCTGATGACGAAAAATTAGCTCAAAAATCTTTACAAATTCTTACCATCAAGGCCCAAATCATCTGTGCTATCTTCAATGTTACTCGTCTCATCAGTCTCTACATTGTTACCCGGTAAGTCATTTGCATCTATTCTAGTTAGAGGTATGTAAACATCTGGAAATAAAAGACAGAATGAAACTGTAGGCTAGACTGTAAGGCTACAATTGGTGCGACAAATGTGATATACACAATGAAGAGATTGAAATGGAAATGGACAGGAGAGACTTCCCAGTCTCTGCTGGTATTGTCTGGTGGCACTTAGAATTTCCTCCACTACCGATTTCATCATCAGCTCTTTGTGAATTTCGGAGTTGGTAACAAACCAGGGTACACCACTTTTTAATTGCAAGATAGCATTCTGCATTCTCTTAATAATGCTAATGTTGGATTTGCAGGCACTACCCCATAGTTGTACTCCATATAGCCATACCATTGTATAGATTAAGAGTTTATTGTCTACATACAGCTTGCTGTTGCGTCCCATAATCCAATGCAGGTTCTTATATTCGATGTTAAGTTCATTTCTCTTGGTCTTATTATGATTTTCCATGTTAAATGCCGGTAAAGATGTAGTAGCCCCAGGTATTCTACACTGTTGCAGTGTGGTAGCGTGACACTTTCTAGATTCACAGATGGACGGTCGCCCTATCGCAAAGTGAAAGTCACCTGAACAGACTTGTTTGCGCTTGCTTTTATCTGCCACTTATGGAGCCAAGTGGTAAACTAATTTATTTAGATTAAGAAATGTAAAGGTTTTTATTACTGAATCAATGTTTGATATGCAAAAAAACATATCTGCATACACCTGGTTTAAGAGAGAATATTTTTTCCAGGGAAATGTTCTTCTGGCAAATAATAAATTTGGCATTGGCTGGGTGTAAAGTCAAATCCAAAAACAATTTCTTACTTCTGAATGGCATAAAAAATACACATCTAGAGTGACATCACAAGTGTCTAGGTGCGGTTTATGGTATATTTTATGCTACAAAAAATTAACCAGTGAATATTTAACAAATCTAGTTATCCTGCATGGCTTTTTACTTTAGTTCTTTAAAGATAATACTGATGTTCCCCTGCTTTATGGAAAGTTACCTCAAATTAACAGCCTTGTCATTTACATGAACATATATTATGTACAGGGATTTAAGGCAGGGCAGACGGGACTGTGGTCCTGTGGTGTGGGGAAACCCTGCAAGAGAGTTCCTCAACAATCGATTAACAATTTTTTTTTATGGGTCACCAAACCAGTGCGGGTGTTATAGGTGGAAGGTTGCAAATCATAGGTAGTCCCGGACTGGTAGTTTTAGGGCCCTCTTTAGGGTTTTAACTCTCAATCCAGTCCTGATTATGTACTTGATCCTCAGACAATTCTGTTGAGTGTCTACTTAGGAAAAGTAAATGAAAAGTAAACAGCTACCTTGCAACATACGCAATGGAACAGCCCTCTCTGTAATACTTCTATTTTGTTGTGGACTCCTAGATGCCACTGATCCTGGAAAATAAGCAATTAATTCCATGAGACCGTAAATTATATTCCTTGTTAGGTCATTATAATCACAGCAGCAAAACAATTGTCTCACAGACTTTTCAAACGCAAAGACAACTATATTTTTCTATATTGGTTTATTACTGGAAATAACAATGACATCAAATAAACTAAAGCAACTTATTAAGTGATAAGTAGGTAATAACACTTCGCATAATGTTTCTTACTTGAATTACTTGTGTTGAGCACAGTCCTACTAAGTGACACAACGGGCTGAATGGACATGCCTCCCATCATCAACGGAGGCACTCGATGGACTCTATCTGCATTGGAGTTGCCACTGATATTGCTCCAGCGTGGTGTTTCATTGTCCAGTTCTTGCCTGTCCCTAATGTATGTTTTTGCAAGTTCTAAGGTCTGTGCAACAGCACCTGATGCTTGGACGAGATGGGAGAGAGCCTCTTCACTGGCAGCTTGTAATGCAGCATCTAGCTTCCGGGCTTGTGCTGCACCACCACTCCTTATTCTCTGTACCAAATATTTATTAATAGCAAATATTATTATCTAAAGAAAAGTTTACTAGAAAAAAATCCACGCGGACCAGGCAGCAGGCGGGACTCGAACCCGCACCTTTCGCAATCCGGGCGAATGCACTTTTAACATCTAGATTCTTTAGATTTAAACTTCTAGCAGTTAAATGCTTAAAAATAAATAAAAACATAAATATTATTATATTTCAATAGCGATAGTGAAGGGTGCGGGTTCGAATCCCGTCTGCTGCCTGGTCCGCGTGGTTTTTTTTCTAGTCATATTTTCTTTAGATTTAAACATCAAGCAGTTACATGCTTCAAAAATAAAAATTATAAAAAATATTTATTATCATAATAATAATTGTTTTTATGACATGGTATTACTGTGTCCTGGTATGATAGAATAGGTACCAAACATTGTAGTTTAATCATAACTTGATTTCATATTGATGAAATAAAGTAATGTTCATGAAATCTACTGTGTATAAAATCTACATCTATAAACTTATTCAGTAAGAACTACGTATGTTATAATATAAGTATCAATGACAAACAACGATTTATTTCTCTGGATACATACACTAAGTTTCAGCCTTAACTCATTATTTTCTTTCATCAACTCCAATTTTTCAGTCTCTCTCTGTGCTGCAGTAATCTTCCAATATTGCACCTTCTGAACCAACTCATTGTTTTTTTCTCGGAGGTCTTTGATTTCATTTTCGTGAGACGACATCGTAGTAGCGCACAGCACTTTCACAATACAAAAAGACGTACGTAAAGTACTACTTTTCCAGACCCGTAACTGGGGGCCTAATATGAGCCAGTTGAATTCATTCCGAAATTACTCAAATTAATTTTGATCGTTAGAATTGAAAGCAACTGGTCAATTATCGCTACTGAATTTTTAATTGGAACCACCGTTCTTACAACACAAGTAAACAACACCAACCACAAAATCAAACCCTCTGACTTGACGACAGTGTCAAATTGACAAAATCAAATTGTCAAGTCAACCCACAGAGTAAGTCCATTTATCATCACCGACGTTATAGAGGTAACAGGAGGCTTACTATGAGCTCATATAGCAGGACTTATATTGAACTACCTTACTTTTTCGTACTATGACCTCGATTAAGCAGGCCTGCTTTGTTGCCTTTAAAACCGTTCAACATTTTTTATTTAAGGACGAAGCTTACCATGACGCGCACTTTGACAGTTTCAGAGCTGTAGGTCTATGAGCGTCTGTAGTGTCAAAAAAAGCAATCCTTAAAAATATCCTCCGTGATTAGGTTTTTCAAGATTAAAGTGGATTTGGTTAAGTTTCGTGTGAGAATTCCAAGACTTGTAAATTTCTTTTAATATTTATTGATACTTGTGTGGTAAATCTTGTTCACGCTGTGCCTATTTTGGGCATTGCCCCAAAGGTCGGAATATATCTGACCGAAAATACGTTGCGTATTATCAGTCGCGTAACGCAATAACAGGCAAATATATAATAAAACATTCAACCTTTCACACCCAACGATGCCTTAGTGCGTCGAGCATACAACGATGATACGTTCGACGAATTTTCCATTAGATATGTACCGACCCTTAAGTTTAGAGAATCATGCCAGAATCGATATCATAGTGTTTGATTGGTAATTGGCAAGTTTATTTATATATTGTTTATTGCCAAAGCATCAAATGGAGAGACCTATGTCCAGCAGTGGACTAGGATAGGCTGTTGATGATGATGATGATGATCCAATAGAAAAGCAGTGATAATGGTTCCGTTCATCTCTCATTATGTTATAGGTATTTTTTGGGTATTGAATTTCAAGAAAAATTAATCAAACACACTGCGATTTCACGAATAAAGGGCATGACTGGACTGACTGCTATTTCGCAGTGATTGGATTGACGCGTTAATAAATTGCTACAGACGCAAAAGTATGACGTTACTTAAAGACATCGTGGCCAGCATAATTAAGAAACTGTTAAATTTTTAAACTCGTTTTAAAATTAATCGGATTTGGGTCATTATACAAAGTACAAAAAAAACTGTTCTTTGGTGATGTTTAACTATTTATAAGTTATTTCAAAAGCTGAAAAAATCTATTTAGTACATTCACGGAGTACATTATTGTGACTATTTACCAAAAACATAACAAGTTCAACCATACCTTATCTGCTTATTTGTGAAAAAAAATCAAAACAGAAGCGTGGTCATACTCCGTGAACTGTTCTAAACACATTTTTCGTCTGAAAAGCTGGGAAAAAAGTTATATTACACACTTGAATTAAAACAAACTCACAGTATCTGTTTTCACACATCCCAATAAACATCAGAACATAGCAGTTTATTTTTTCTTATTAATATATTAAAATTTATAGCCATTATACAGGTGTTATAAAAATTTTAATCAATACCGTGAACTACAATTTTCACCCAACAAAAATTTTTTGAGAACTGAATTACTGCTCTTATTACCTGGTTACACTGCTTTTTGCTGTTAGTTCAGTTGTGTGTGCTAACCAACAAGGAGGTTATGTACTGTGAAGTTTTGTTAAAAAAATATGTAATATACGTTCCTGGTAAAGTTTGGCCCGTCAATTTGGTTAGGGATTTTTTTGATATGTAGTAACGTATTTACTTTGCCACCATAGCTCATAATTAATGCCATGGGGACTTATTTTGGTTGTAGTTATAAATTAATATGTAACATTTAAAACCACGACGTAGCATGATTTTAAAAATGATTCGTCAATCCTGTGATCGTCATTACTGTGAACTTGTTGTTCACAGAACTTGTATTTTTTCGATGTTTAAAACAAACACTTTTGTATGGCATTATTCAGAGTCTGGTCATGGAAAAGGACGCCAGACGGTGTAGGTGGCTACTTAAAAAGACATAATGATCGACGAGTGGTTTTGTGGAATGACATTCCAGACCATCAAAGTTTGATATTATTTTTTGAAAAAAAATGGAAAATCACTTTTGGAAAAAAATGACCTCTTGGTTAGGTTAATGCCAATAAATGATATATGTATTATTAGGCCAATAGAGAACATCTTCTTTTTCAGAATAGCTTTACAAAACCTATCAAGGCACGATGAAAGTTCATCAAATTGTTTGGGCAAAAGAAAACCCAGATTATCTTCAAACCAGGCGACTGAGTTGTTTGGAATGTCATTCAGACATCACTTGTCGTCATTTAAGGCTGGAAAATGTAATCACCAATACAATTATTACATGCAACACAGAAAATGAGCCCTCAATACCATCATGCTCTAAATTACGTGTTGATGAAATTTATTCTGATAGGTGAAACAAAATTAGGCCTCTGAGACAAAACAGAGTAAATTTTTTGGCTGTTGAATATACCCAGAAAATTATAATAAGAGAGTTCGCACATTTTTATCATATAATGACTTCAGTGATTCTTATAATTTAGTATCACAGAAATGACGTTCGTACTAAATATCATTTCCGTGGACATGAATGTTTGATTTTTTTTATTGTCTTTTAAAATTATTGATCAAAATAATGTTTCATAATTTATGTTATCTTGGTTTAATGGTTTTCGGTAGAACATTTATTATTATCATAACTGTATTAATTCTTAAGTTATGATCACTCAGATCATTTCAGTGAAAACGTGCGTCAATTCTGTGAGACTTAAAAAATGTTTTTTCATGTTTTTACGTATTAAACGTAATGAAAATTCTGTTTTATGTTGTGATTATGGTATTTGATTGTATTTTGCAAAAAATAAATGTTTGAAACCCAAAAAATCCTCACTTCAATTTTTGTGATTTAAGAAAGGCCATTTCGTATAATGACCCATTTATGGAAAAATATGTAAATATCAATTCATGTTATTACATAAAACAAGTTGTGAAATGATGTTTTACCGCTGCTGGAAACCGACTGCCAGTTTTGATACCGTCTCCTTTAATTTTTTGTTTTAGAGAATCATGCCGGAATCGACACTAAAAACAAAGCTGTATAAACTTGAAATTTTTTGCCTCCCTGAAGGAAAAACATAACAAAAAAAATACTTGTAAGTCATTCTATGACAGTGATGCCAGATTGGGGTATTAATAAGCCATTGTTGCGAAAATTTTGGTCTGGGCGAGATTTTGACTAAATAGTTGGCGAAAATAAAATATAATTGGCGATAAACATATTAAAAGAAATACATCAGACACAAAGGATGAAGAAGCCGAAAAAATTTATTTCATACCATGTGACATGATCTGAAAAAAGGTGCCATTCTTAATCCGAATGAAAAAAAGAATAAAGTTATATGACCATTAGTTTGCTATTAAAAAGTCACTCGTCCATATCATGCACATGCACATCATTCGTTCATACTCATGGATAAAGTATAATCGTAAAGAAATCATGTTATATCCATACTCCTTGTATTCTCTACTCTTCCATTCCACTAGTGGCACGAAAGAAATCCACTAGAATAAAATATATGAAACATGATACGATGTCTAATACAGATTGCAATAAAACCCTTTTGCGTATGATGTGTCATGCCAGCACTGTCGTCTAGGAGACATGTTTGATGGTATGAACTTCGAATTCAAAATAACATTCACACCTTCTGTAGGACCAGTTTTGTTAGAACACAAAGTTTTTCGACTTATATAAATAAATTAAAACACAATTTTTAATGAAAGTAAAAAAGTGGCTACTACATAAACATACAATGAAACCGAATATAATACACACACACACACACTCACACGTATTACTTACCTAGCATAACTTATAACCAGGGCCGTCTTTATTCTGTTGGAGGCCCTGGGCATATTAGGATAATGGGGCCCTCTAAAACTTTGATGTGGATTATGACTTGAAATAGAGTGAGTCATACTGATGAGTGTACTACTGATGATTTTTCTTATATGTATATTTAAATTTATCTAAGCATGCTGAAGTCGGAAAGCCTAATTTTTGGGCGTGAGTAGTATAGCTTCACTTATGTAAAAGCTAGTAAGTTGGTATTGCAGTCAGTACTTTAGGTTCGATTTCATCGAATTATAGGTATAAGTTTTTGGTTATAAATATTAGTTATCTTACAGGAACTAGGGACTTTGTATTTGATCCCAGGGGGGTCCCTATCGATCGCGGGGCCCTGGGCACTTGCCCAAAGTGCCCACTGGGAAAGAGGGGTCTACTCATAACATTTCAAATAATACTCATTTTATTAAGACGCCAATCGATTTATTGTAATGTTTACTCATAAAATTTACTGAGTTATCAATGATTGTAAAAAGATTGTGGTTTTATTAGACCACGATGAAAGTTAACTTTTAAAGGTTTTAGGTCCTAAAAAATTCAGGCTTACAAAAAAAATAAGAACAGGCATTCCTTAGCTGGGAATCAATCAAACCCGAGTCGTCCATGTAGCAGGCGAGCTTTCTACCACTGAACCACCGATGCTTGTTAATAAGGTCTGAATTTTTAATAATAAAAGTAATGCAATATGTAAAAGATGAACGAAAAAAAAATGCGGTGACGTAATAAAAGTTTCACTTTATAAAATATGGTTAAAAAAATCTATTTTTTGCCAATTTATGTTTTCGCGTTTTTTTCTACAAACAATATAATATTGACGTGCATAAGATAACATTTAATCTGGTGGAATTAGAAAATTGCTTCTGGCAGCCCTGTTCTGTGATGTCAGTGTTTATTGTCATTGTTATGTCAATGTCAAAAACAGCGTGTTACTTTTGGACATACCTACAGATTACAGCAAGCACATATTTTTAGGTTATAAGCTCCTAAACAATCTGTTTTTCATTAAAGTTAAAAGAAAATGTCGTTCCGCGGTAGAGGAGGTGGGGGCGGCCGTGGAGGTTTTGGTGGCGGAGGCCGGGGCCGAGGTTTCGGCGGTGGTGGCGGCCGCGGACGCGGAGGCGGCGGCGGCGGTGGTTACAGGCAACAATATGACGCTGGACCACCTGAATCCGTGATCCCGCTAGGTCACTACGGTTGGACGGTACAAGACGACCTCATATGTAAAGTAGATATCGAAGACGTGCCGTACTTCAACGCGCCCATTTTCTTAGAAAACAAGGAACAAATCGGCAAAATCGACGAGATATTCGGCAACCTCCGCGACTACTACGTTTCAGTGAAGCTCGGGGAGAACATAAAAGCCAAGAGTTTTAAAGATGGGCAGCAATTCTTCATCGATCCCGCAAAGTTGTTGCCGTTGAAGAGATTTCTGCCACAGCCGCCTGGTGCCAAGAGAGGCGGTGGCGGGCGTGGTGGTCGCGGCGGGCCGAGGGGTGGGAGGGGCGGCTTTGGCGGTCGCGGGGGCGGCGGCGGTTTCGGTGGTGGTCGCGGCGGCGGTGGCGGGTTCGGCCGAGGCGGCAGCGGCGGTAGAGGTGGCGGTTTCGGCCGAGGTGGTGGCGGAGGTTACGGCGGCGGACGAGGCGGAGGCGGCAGGGGAGGCGGCTTTAGAGGCGGACGCGGCGGCAGATAGTGCTTCAACAATCATTCTAGGATTTAAGATACAAATGACTGTATGTGTGCAATCCAAAAGTGCATGTCAGCAGGCCCTCACCATGCAAGTTAAACTCTTGTGTAATAAGATATCAATTATTGATATTTGATTTATATTGTTTGAAGGTCTATCGGAAGGTGATCCCTAACCATCAGATGAGCTGTGAGCTTGTATTCCCCTATAATATTTATAGACACATTAATGACTTAATATCTGAAGGCAATAAGTTGTAGTTTCAATAAACTTAAACGTTAAATGTATGTAAATAAATACATTTTTAAAACAAATATTGAATGTAAACTCTCATAGCTATTAACGGGATTGTTACCATTTACCTTTTTTTATGAGTCTCTGATATTTCAGCACTGTTGTAAGTGCCATGTTCACTGTGTTACTCCATGTGTCCATGAAAGTATAAAACAATATAATGTATACTCTTTTTAAATACAAATATACAAGAATGATCCTATATGGTGAGGGCCATTAAAATGTAAGAGACCAATTATAATATTAAGAAACCAAAAAAATTGTTTTCTTTCTGACATATATACAAGTCGTAATTATTAAGTTTTCCTTATAATTATTAGTTTAGAGGTAATAGTTTAGTTAGTATCAGTAGTAACAAGGGTAACAAAGAAATAAATAGCTCATAAACAAAAAAGAGGATAAGTTACAACACATACAAGATTTAATGATTGCGAACTATCTCGAGTTACAGTAAAGACATTGATTTTGTGATATGAAGGTAATCAACTAAATAAGTTTCTCTGTTACCAGTTTTATATAGACTTAAAAAATAAATAAAACAAGATTTAAATAATACAATTACTTATTATTAACTTAACACTGAATAAATACCAGTTACAGCTACATTTATAATTCTGTATTTTCTAATTCTGCTTTACCAGAACTGGGCACATATTTGCTTTGATTTACTGCTTTTCCTCTATGATTGAAAATTGCAAATGATGGCATATTATACTGGGTTTCCCAAGTGAGGGTGTTAAGTTCAGCAGCGGCAGGAATCTCTCGAAGGTTACCAGCTATATTCAGGACTCCCCACATTACTGCAAATAAGCTAGCAACTGCTTGCACCACAATCTATAAACAAACACAATTTTGAATGGAAAATAAATATGTTAATGTAACATTTGTTCAAAAAAGGCATGAAATAGTAGAACATAAATAATTAAACTCCCACAGACAAGTCAAATCCATCCATTTGTAGAATAAAGGTCAATTTTCTAGCTGCAAAGTAGTGTTCAATAACGTTTACTTCTTTTTGTTATATTTATTATATCAAAATCTCTAATCTATTTCAGCGAAATATTCATAACAAATTAATCATTATTTGATTGTTCTTTGAACTCATGAAAGCAGCTTTTAAATTTGTTTAATATGGTGTTTCAATTGTTTTTGTTATAATTCTGTGCTCCTTCAATATATTATTTATTTAAGTCATTGATAGCCTCAAAAATATTTGCTTTGTATGCTTTAAATACTTACATCTAAAGGTAGAGTTGTAAATTCTTGTGAAGTTATCCTTAAATATGAACGATCTGTAAGGAAATAATAAGAGAATTAGGTTAGCCAACCAAGTTCTTACTACGCAGAATGTAAGTTATTCAGTTACGCATAAAATTATTTAATATTAAAGAATATTTATACGCTGCATTATGATTACAAAATAGATATTTCAGCAGCTCAGTTACAGAATGTTTTATTGATAATATTTTTATTGTTTAATCAAGAGTAACAAAAAATTTTGATAAATGTAAATTATAATAATAAGTTGGTGTTCCTTCTGAACCTAATCATTTAACTTACGTTGAGCAGCTGAGAAAGCCGAATGAAATAGAGAAATATACCCCACGAAAACAATGATTTTATGAAACGACGACATAATGATCACAATTTAAATGTATAATTTTGTCTTATGCATCAAATATTGAAGGCAGCAGCAGTTGAGGATGTATTTGAGATATGTTTTTATTTCTTCTTCATAAAAAATGTTTCTAATTAAAGTAATTTTGCCTTCAACCTATCAGTATCCTGTCAGTCCACTGTCAACTCAGTTTTTTTTAAGATTCTCACTTTTTAGGGAAGGCTAAAGGAACAATTCCCATACAGCCTACTCTTTAGTTATATCAATCTTTTTTTTTCATTAGAATGTCGGTGTGACGCATTCTAATATTTCTTGGAGTGTTTGGCACGAAGTATCGAGTTGGCTTTTTCGATAAGCTTCTGTGAGGTAGTCAACACAACAATAAAGTTCTCACGTCCACTTGACATTAATAGCGTATACTTTAATAATTTCACTGATTCTTCAGTTGTGCAGACAGACGGTTGTTGTTGACATGAAATCATACCAATTTTATTTTAGAATATCCATTATGAACCAATATAAGAATAATTAAAATAAGATGCCAACCGTACTCCATGAAAAACTCTCCTTGTTGACAGAGATTTTACAGAGTACCACCAGAAAAAAATCCAATTAAGTAAAAAAAATAGCTAATTCTTCAATATTACAACATTATGACCTCCATTTATATAAAATAATATTAAAATTTTCAAAACAAAATGGGCTTATTTATTTTTGACATGTATGTTGTAAGAGTGAGACAAAAGGCTTCTTTGTTGCGACTATTTCAGTTACTAGCCTCTTCAAAAATACTGGCTCTACATTTGTATCGTGAAGTTCCTTGAACACGTGTGAATATGAATGTGGATGGTTCTCGCAGCTTCACGCGCGTCCGAAGTAGAGGCATCACCAATAAGGATCAATCACATAATAGCAAATCTGATTTTTACTAAGGACATCGTACGCGCATTAAATTACTAAGCATTTTATTTATTCAATTATTAAAACCCGCCAAGAAATGATGGATTTATTAAAGTTTTTCTGAACGACTCCTTGAAACGCGCGCTCTAGCTCAATTCTTTACAATGACGTCATTTGTTATGGTACGTGCGACCGTTCGAACATAGTCACCACGGAGTACCCCCACTAGAGTCCGCATCACGTAAATTTTGTTTGGAATCAAAATCGCCAAAGTCGGCGGCGTGCAGGGAGATCAGCCGCGTTGTGATTGGACACGTCAAGGTCAGATGATATACTCAGTGCAGCGAAGTGATGAGGGTAAGATCGATTTTAGAAAATATCGATATTTTCTATCGATAAATAAAGGACACCCGGCATTGGTACCAATTCTGGCGTGATTCTCTAAACTTAAAACTAAATTTAACATCAGTCTCTCCTTTTCATTCTGTATAGAGAATGACAAGGATATACTGCTGTCAAATTTAAGTTTAGGTTTAGAGAATCATGCTAGAATCGACACCATTATGTGCCAAAGTTGTATACTTTTTTATTTTTTTTATCTGTGTTTCATAATTGGGTAACGTAGTCTGGCAATATTTGTCATCAGCAGCTAGCTGTCAATGTCAAATACCTAGGTTTGTCAATATAACCTCTATATGTAGCAGGGTCGTCAAGAGAAATAACGGATAAAAAGGCAATCACAGCAGAGAACATTCACAATCACAGTACGCGGGAGCGAATGATTTTTTTGTTTGTATTTTAGGATTGTCAAATTGACATTTGGTTTTTTATTTAGAAAAAGCAAAGGAATCATGGTTTTTACAGTCACTTGAGTAATATTTTCAAGTAAAATTCTGTCCCTTGAAGATTTAGGGTTTCCATATCAAAAAATATTAATCATTATATAACTTCTTTCCACGATTCACTAAAAATAAGGCAAAATTAGTTTTATGTAGCAAATAATTTTGGCTTCATTTTGAGACCAAATTCAACTGTATACAAGTTTAGCATTTTTTCTAAGAAAAGTGCCGGATCTCCATTGTACAGAGGCCTAGTACTTTGGTGCGCTAGTGTAGCTATGCGCAAACATACTCTCTCCACTTTCTTCCAGCGTTCTAATTACATGACGCGACTAGTAACTACATACTAAATAAAATATAAGCAACACAAAAAACACGTAAAAAAAATATCTAGATAGACAATAATATGCTGTTTATGACAACTTTTAAAACTTAAGGCGCCTTACTCATCGACTCGGTACAGGTTCGTTTTCTTTGCGGGAGTGACAGGATGGGCGAGTCGAATGATTCGGTAGCATTCGGAAGCACTCAGCACAGCAAGCTAAGTATCCGCTCGGAAAAGATTCTGTACAGCAACCACTTAGTGAGAAAGCTCTCATTTAATTAAATGCACTCGGAAAAATCTGTTCAGATTCGGTACAGGATCGAAAACAAAACAAACTCGCACCGACCCGTAGATGAAGGCGCCTTAATTATTATTTTCTGGGACTTATGACAGTAAAAAATATTAGTAAAAGACATTTTTACGAAGATTTTATTTATTTATTCAAATACATTTTTGTATAAGTACAAAAAATTATAACAATTCGCCTTAGATTAAATCAAAATGGAAAGATATCAAAAAGAGACCCTACATGGATACGCGTCTCAAAAATGAGCCAAAAAAACCTGAACTTATTGCCAATGTTGTCAACTCCCTAAACCCTATCGCTCAAGTATGGTGTTATAAGATCCGGATTGGTCCTTTCATTGATCCTAAATCATTTCTTAAGTTATGTTTCGTAAAAATCGCAATCAAAACTCTGAGACAAGTCACTATACACACGTAGAAGTGCGCAATGGAGTTATATTATTTTATTTCAAGAGGTCATGAAACAATGAACACGCAGCAAATTCATTAAATATGCAAACTAGAGTAGGACCCAATACAATAGTATCTCAATTACCGATTTAGAAACTTTAACGGAAATTACCCCACAGATCTCCGGTCCTATTTTTATTTAAGTAGTTGGTTGATCGATATTTAAGATATTCGCGTAAGTTGGTTATTATAAGTAGATAATTCGTTTCGGGCTAACATAGTCACGAATTTGTAAATACCATTCCGAACGAATAACATACAACGTTTTTCAACACATTTGCGAGAAATAGTATACCTACATAATTTAAGTAATGAAGCAAACTTTTTCTTACACGAAAGTGACGTGCATTTCTAAATGGTGTCATGTGTGGGTGGTGAAAATTAAAACTACATCTTTCGTCTCTTTTTCTTTTTAGTATTAAAGTAAGACAAAGTATATATTAAAAACACTACCAAGGAGATTGAAATAAAAAAACCTCAAAGAATACGCACAGTTCCATATATGTATGCAGTATTTTTTTTTACTATATAGCCCGTAATTTTGAACTGTCGAAAAAAGTATTGGGACACATTTTGAGCGCTCGTGGTCTATCTAGGGTATTTAATATCGTTAATTCCATGTCTTTATCTAGGTCATAAAGTATACGCACTTAATTTCATACAAATCGGTTTAATCGTGTAATAGTAACAAACATCCATAAAAATTTTCGGGTTTAAAATTTTAGTACGATATGATTAAAAACTGTTGGTTGTATACTCATGATATCTGTACCCTTAGTACGAGTTTGAGCTCACGAAAACTATCATAGTTTTCGTAATTGTAAATTATGTTTCTGTGTCCATTTCGGTGAAAAGTAACCAAATATACTTAAAATTTAAGAACATGCAAATGATTTAATGATAGAATCTAAACACTGTTTATTTGTATTGAAACGAAAACAATAAAGTCATTAACCTTAATACGAGTGCGAGCTCACGAAAACTATCATAGTTTTCGTAATTGTAAAACTCGTACTAAGGGTACTGTTATTGTATACGATGAAATAAATAGTTTTTATTTATTTTTTCTATTTCCGTAGCTGACAAACTTATCGATAAACTTACGGGTACAGACATGAGCTGCGTCAAGTCACTAGCAATACTCGTGCCGTTGTGAGAGCGGAATAGCATATATGATGCAGCGCATGCGAGAAAGGGATAGTGTTAAAAGACATCAACGCGTTCACCAAAAAATAAATACAATTAAAAGCAATTTCATATAAGAGTATTTTTGTCTTTTTGTAATGCATTTAAACTTACCGGTGAAAAGTAATACCATCTTTTTGAAGACTGGAAGTTTTACTCCACTTTCCACATAATTTAATTGCACAGTACGGCATTTTTTCTAGTTTTTTAAAGCAAAAACGAGAGAAGCACTTCTGCTAACGCTCGGCTTCGGAATGAAACGATGTATAGCGACGTCTGTGGGCGTGTCTCACGCATACGTAATATACTACTTAAGCTTGGCGTAAGCGCTTGCCCTTGTATGCGGACTCTAGTGGGGGTGCTCCATGATAGTCACAAACGATCACGAACCAAAACCACGAAAATACTAGAGACATATTTTTCCAGAACACGGCGGGCGGGTCACGACATGAATAATCGCGATGAAGGTGGAGTGGTGCAGTTTATTCTATGAGCCATATGCATTGCATAAGGGTCATATTAGAATAAACTGCACCGGGGCGTAAGGGTGAAAGTGCAACGACATCTGCACTTGTTGATAACTCATGCGCGTTACCTACGTATAAGTAAGTACTACGTACTCGCGGTGCTAGTTAACTCTCAAACTGGACTTTTCTTGAACGCGTCGATTATCGTATATAAACGCGCCTCGCAGCAACAGTTGAGTTTCAACAGCGATTTCGGAACAAATACAAAGTGCAGGTAAGGTGTTCAAGTGCGATTATTTAAAGAATTGTATAGTGTCAAGTGAGTGTAGTATTGTTTGCTAAGAAAGAACTGTGAACTGTGTGGTGAACAAAGAACTGTCAAGCGTGAACTGGCATATAATTTCGAACCTCATCCCGACACCTATCAATGTTATACATTAAAATATTCCCTGACAAATACGCATTTATATAAGAAAAACCCCATCCATATCTAATCATCATACATAATTTCATACATACAAACTTACAGGTCGAATTGAGAACATCCTTTTTTTAAAGTCTGTTGAGTAAATGTAGTGCAGAGCACTTCGCAACAATCAGAATTTTTAATATGTATTGACCTCAGATATTATAGAATCATAGCTTCCAAAGCCTACGAAGCTGCTTACTGCAAAAAGTATGATGGAGCTTTAGGAATAGGAATCTATGAAATAGGGGTAAAGATCTTCAAAACCTATGTGGTCGGTTTACATACGAGCATTGAGTCTACAATCTAGTATGAACACAGCTGTTTCGAAGTTGTATACGATCATACACTAAGTATGTACGAGTAAATGAATACATACATACCTACCTTGAGATTTTTAAACGAATTTTATTTAAACTTCAGGCGTTTCCTCGGGTTGATTAATAAACAAATATTTGTTTCTTAGGTTTTCATTTGGTATATGCTCTAAGGTTTTCACGCACACCAGTCATTAAATAAAACAAGTTTCAACGGTATAGATGCGCTGATTTATTTGTTTTTCGACACTTCGCATCCTTTTCAGGATACGTCATCAGAATTAATTAATAATGTAAAAATTTCCCGTTTATAATATTAATGGAATTATGAGAATCTCCATCAAATTTTATTTTAATTTTATAGGTACCTACCATGTACCTGCGAATATTTTTTTTAAACCTTATTTGCGCTAGATACCGCAATACTTACATCAAAATGATCTTCATTCTCGGTCGCGAACTTGTTCTTTTATTGGTCTGAGCGGGCGCGTTTCTGTAACTAAAGCACTGTAGTTCGATGGCTGGAGTGGCAGGTAGAACTGCTGTACCAGCTATCTTCACGTCTGGACTTTAAGCGAGTGTGCTTATGACCACGCGACACGACTGAAGTGAAACTTTTTTAGCTCCAATGATCTGAAAACCATAAACTTAAGCTGATGATTTGTTGATAAAAAAAACCACCAATCCGCACTGGCTCTATTATCAATCACCCACCAATCCACGCTGGGTCCGGTATCACCCACCAAGTACTAGATTCATGTATTTTGTGACGGGTTGTTTATTGTTTACCGATGACTCATCGGTGCTCGCGTAACGCAAAAATTATAACACATTCGCCAGTTTACCCCCCAAGTCAAGCGTGCCTAAAGAAGTTTCACTTCAAAAAGTTGCTGTATCCTTGTCATTCTCTATACAGAATAAAAAGGAGAGACTAATGTTAAATTTAGTTTTAAGTGTTTTTTAGTATTTAGTATTTTTTTTAAACATTTGTGAATAATTAATAAATTCATAAATTTTCCATATCAATTTTATCATTTCAACACCCACTAACCTCAGGCACTAACCTATGGTCCTTCGAGCTATACCTCGCGCGCATAAAATAGTGTTTTTCATTCATAGCGCCCGCGAATTCATGCCAATATGTCATGGCATCGCGGCACAAGTTTGGAGCCGGTAATATGCCGGCATTTCAGTTGGTTATTCGTGTAAGCTATTTCTAAGCTTGACATCAGTCGGGGAGACTATTGTCGAGTCAACAAATAGTGAATAAGAATAGCAAAATGAAGTGCCGGCATTACACTACAACAGTATGACAATGACAAATACATCACTCACTGGCTAATTCACTATGTCTGTGGCAATAAAATAGACAAAATCTGTGATCAAAAATTCAAACAAAACATTTTTATTTCAGATTCAGGCGTGTACAACAAGCAAAGCACCACTTTGGTCGGTCGGTTTTTAGTCCAGATTCACTGTTCAGACAGCAGTCCTCGCTTCGTCACACTGTTTAGTGCAAGTGCCAGACGAATGCTGCAGAATGCCCTATTCTGCGGAGAATCGAGACGGGCGGGGCAAAAGCGCGAGCGGGACATTTTTGGGAAGGACGCCTGAAAGTTGGGGTCAGTGAACCTCTTTCACTTCACTTAACGCACTGAAAGTTCAGAATTGTAACACTTTCATTTATGATTGTCAAAAGGTTCTTTTATTTTTGTTGGTATAAAATTTAAACCAAACACTGAATATCTTGGGCGTGGCATAATACAATCCTGTTTTTACAGGACTGCCCAAAAGGAGTCTTATTGTGGTTCACTTTAATATATGAAATTAAAGGGTTTGTTCCTTGTTCTTCTAGTGTTCTTGATTAAATTCATTTTTTTAATTCATGATAGCCACTTTATCTAGGGATGTAAAATAAGTGTGTTACATTGTTCAGAAAACATTAATGCGTTTAAAATCAACTTCAAAATAAACATATTTTGTGTTTAAGTGGCATTTGATATATTTAATTTACTGGTGATGTTCGAGTATATCTTTAAAAGTTGACACGATCTATTTTTTTGTGTCCTCAATAGTATTTATTGGATTGTTGCAATTTATTGAGTTATCTAAGAAAAATAATTAGATTGGACTCCTTGGACTCTCAGGCACTCCATTTCTTATAAAGTTCTTCAATTATTGAGCTGCATACATGTTTATAATGTTGTGAATTTCAATTAGTAATTTTATGAAACTTCTTAGTATTTTGTAAGAAGAATAGGCATGATGACGGGGTAAAGTAAACGAAAATCTATTTAGTCCGTCAGTTAGATGATCAAAAATAATTTACACATATTTTTTCTTTGGGCAATCAACCAAAAAATGACAAAGCGCAAAATTATAGCGCGTCAAAGTTTGGGAGTAGGGGCTCGTGACGTCACTTTTGAGTGAATTCTCACTTATAAGTGTACTCAAACGTGACGTCATGCGACTTTTCAAATCAATATATCTCTGCAATGTTTCTAATATGTGAAAAAAGAAAAAATACCTGTCCAATACTTTTTGATAATCTACCTGATAAATGAAGAAATAAAAATTAGTCATCATCCCTATTATGATGGTGTTTTTAAAATATTATTAATTCTATTGATTAAGAGATTTGTTTGCTAATTTATTGAGAAGCCATCCTGGCAATCCAATTAATAACAGAATAGCGAGCCAGCACTATATCATTAATGGGTGTTAAATGCCACCAATCTTTTAATCCCTACTGAAGCCATACAAAAAACATACCACTCAATATAGTATATATTTTATGATTTAAAAATACCGAAACCTTTATTTAGGCCTGTATTATAGAAAGATTCTCAGTGATTGATCTAGTAATGAGCATTGTTAGAAAGGGATGTCGCTATATATAGCACATAGCGACATCCCTTTCTAACTATACTCAAGTAAAGATCAACACTTAGTTATCATTCTGTAATAATGTAAAGTAATGGGCCTTAGACAGAAATGATAATATGAATAATTGTGCTAAAAGTGCAAGATTTAATTTCTATATGAGGGAATTTTAATCAATGCAACAGATTGGGGTATTGTATTTTATTATACATAACCATCTCTCCAATAAAGAGCGAGAGGAAGAAATATAAAATGTTTATTTTTCACAGTTAAAAAATAGTATTTCCTCAAAATATCACATGTGGGTAGACCAAATTCAGTTTAGATCTGGGTATATTTTTAATTAGTATTTCAAGTTTCTTACTATGGAATTGACTTCCAAGTATTATGAATTAAAAACTTCTTAGGTAAAGGATGACATATTTTCATATTTTTTTTGTGGCACTTTTTTAGGAAGTCTTGTGTTTTATTTCATAATTTTAAATACTAATACTTTAAGTTTCATAATATTTCATAGTTTGTTTTGATCCTTTAAATATGAGTTTGCATTTATTATAGTACTAGCTGTGCCCTGCGGTTTTACCAGCGGTTTATTAGAGATATTTTCCTGCAGTAAAACATAGCCTATATGTTAATCCAGGGTGTCAGCTAACTCCATAATAAATTTTATTAAAGTTGCTCCAGCCGTTTAGATGTGAAGAAGTAACAAACATACACACTCACAAACTTTCGCCTTTATAATATTAGTGTGATAATATTAGTGTGATACTTGAGTCTATAATAAAATATACAAAAATTGTTTGTTACAGCCAAAATATTAATATTCTACACAATCTTCTATGCAACATTGGTGTCACTATTTGCTATATGTATGGTGACATTCCTGCAGCAGTTTATAAATCCCCGTGTACCAAGACTCCAGCAGGAGTATAGTGTGATTGGTACGAGTCCTGGTCTCGGATTCCGACCACTGCCAGAAGATGTTCGTAGCACTCTCATTTACTATAAAGGAACTGGTTATGATAGCTACAGTTATTGGGAGAAACAGCTTATTGAATTCCTTTCAGGTAAGTTACTAATTCTAGATTGAAATATTTACCAAGCATTAATTTTTTGCATAATATTAAATGAGCTGGCAAACGAAACAGTATAATTATGCATCTGGTCAAACTACTTATTTTTTAAGTCCGGAGGATTTGGGCCTGCTCTATTTGAATGTCAACTAATTTTCAATCGAAACTGCCTAAAACAGTGTTAAAATTACTAAATTTATAAATTAAAAACCATGCCAAAAGCTCGATGTAAGTATGTCATTCAGTTTTTTACACCTCCTGTAAAATTAAATTTTTTGTAATGTTATCAATTTGTTCGCTAGCTCCTCAAATTTAATGCTGTTATTTTTTTGTTAAACAATAAAAAGAATGAAAAAGTATTTTCCTGATATGATTTTATTGTATTACTTTTTCATGTTATTATAATATTATCATCATCAGCCTATTAATGTCCCCACTGCTGGGGCACTGTTATTATAGTGTAAATTGTAAGTTTATTGTACAAGATAAAAGGTCATATATGTGCACAATATCAAAAGGTCATTTATGTGCTTAGCTTCAGCTCACACCGAAATGCGACGCGACGCGACGTTGCTCGCATATTTTAATAGAGCAACTCAAAACAAAACTTTATTCACTACACTAAAAGACACACATTTCATTGTTGGTGCAACATATTCTGCATTCAAACAATGAAATGTGTATCTTTTCGTGTAGTAAATGTGTTGGGTCGCTCTTTAAAACGAGCGCGCAGTGTCGCGTCACGTCGCGTTTACATTTTGCTCAGTTAATGTACCAAGTTGAAAGTTCATTTGTGCATAGTGTAAATGGGTAAGATAATTTATGTGCACAGTATACAAGATGAAGGGTCAGACGGCAGGCGCTGGTGCGAATATCTTCGACTGCGACTTCAACAAGTTACCGCCGCACGGCAAAGTGTGCGACGTGGACGTGCGCGACTGGGCGCCTTGTACAGAAGAGAACCACTTCTCCTTCCACAAGTCGTCGCCCTGCATATTCCTCAAGCTCAACAGGTAACTATACCACTAACTGCAGCGACTTCAACATTTGCCGCCACACGGCAAGGTCTGCGACTCGGAGCTACCAAGAAATATCACTTCTCCTTCTACAAGAGGTCGCCCTGCATATTCCTCAAGCTCAACAGGTGACTACTACTAACTGCAGTGACTTCAACATCTGCCACCACGCGGAAAAGTGTGCGACTCGGAGCTCTGCACCGAGAAATATCACTTCTCTTTCCACAAGTTGCCGCCCTGCATCTTCCTCAAGCTCAACGGGTGACTATACCACTAACTGCAGCGACTTCAACATACAGCCGCCACACGGCAGGGTGTGCGACTTTGAGCTCTGCACCGAGTAATATCACTTCTCCTTCCACAAGTTGCCTCCCTGCATCTTACTCAAGCTTACCAGCGACTTCAACATCTGCCACTACACGGCAAAGTTTGCGACTGGGAGTTATGCACCGAGAAATATCAATTCTCCTTCCACAAGTTGCCGCCCTGCATCTTCTTCAAGCTCAACAGGTGATTATAGCACTAACTGCAGGGACTTCAACATACTGGCGCTACACGGCAAGTTGTGCGACTCGGAGTCCTGCACCAAGAAATATCACTTCTCCTTCCACGCCCTGCATATTCCTCAAGCTCAACAGGTGACTACTACTAACTGCAGTGACTTCAACATCTTCCACCACGCGGAAAAGTGTGCGACTCGGAGTTCTACACCGAGTAATATCACTTCTCCTTCCACAAGTCGTCGCCCTGCATATTCCTCAAGCTCAACAGGTGACTACCACTAACTGCAGTGACTTCAACATCTGCCACCACGCGGGAAGGTGTGCGACTCGGAGTTCTGCACCGAGAAATATCAATTCTCCTTCCACAAGTTGCCGCCCTGCATATTCCTCAAGCTCAACAGGTGACTACCACTAACTGCAGTGACTTCAACATCTGCCACCACGCGGAAAGGTGTGCAACTCGGAGCTCTGCACCGAGAAATATCACTTCTCTTTCTACAAGTTGCGGTCCTGCATCTTCCTCAAGCCCAACGGGTGACTATACCACTAACTGCAGCGACTTCGACATGAAGGGAGGGCAAATGGAACCTTTGGAGTTTTGGGAATATGTTAGTAAATAAGCAGCATTGAAGGTTAATATAAATTTGAATGTAAGCTATGTGAACAATGTTGGGAACTTTTTAAATTATTACATTGTGCTTCTTATTGGATGGATTCAAAAGAGTTTCGTCATGCTTCCAATTAAAATTAAATAAATAAATATTTCCAACACTCACACCAATTAGCCTAGCCCCAAAGTAAGCACTGTAAGGCTTGTGTTATGGGTTGCTAGGGTAACGGATAGAATACATATACTGTACAAATATAAGTATATTTATATAGAAATACATATTAAACATCCATGAATGGAGTACAAATGCTCGTATTCATCACACAAACATCTGCCCCCATCGAGATTGGAACCTGGGACCTCTCGAATCGGCGACACTATGAAACCCGGCGTACAAACCACTCGGCCACGAAGGTCGTCATAACTGATAAATAAATATTGACTCATGATCAGCATCAGCATATTAATGTCCCCACTCTTGGGGCACACTGGCCTCCTCTACGGATGAAATACGCAGCTTGGGCCCACGACACAGGCCCAGTAGGATTGGCGAGTGCTTACGACTGCAGATGCAGTCCGATTTGAAATGCCTTCCGAAGCACAGAGGACTTCGAGATAAGAATTTTTAGGTCACCAACAATTGCGAAAGTATCCTAATTTTCATGATCACAAGCCGAACGCGCTTACCACCTGCGCCTGGCCCAGAAGAAACCTTGTTGCCCATACCTTAGGGCCAAATTAAAACGTGGCTGCGTGAAAGAACTCAGAAATCACACTTGACAGAGTGGAAAACAGGTGAAGGATGCCGGCAAATATAGAAGGCAGTTCTAGCGGCAAACAAAAGACTTGCCCGCATCCTTAATAGGGACAAACTCCGCAAGATTATAGGAAATCTGGTCATTGCCCCCATAAACCGGGACCTGTATACAGTAGAAGTAACAGATAACCCCGTATGTAGAGGATGCATGGAGGCAGAAGAAACGCCACAGCATGTTATCATGGAATGCAAGAGTGTGGCCGACCAACGGACACGACTTCTCCAGTCGCCAGCATCGCTTCCAGAAGCCTGCAGCAGTTTCTCAAGGCTGCTTTCCTTCTGGACTAACTTAGGCTGGCTGGAGGAAACGGAAATGTTCCGAGACACGCACAATGGTCCAATAATTGGAGAAAATTTGTCCAAAGTGGAGAAACCGCCCTGAGAAACTAACTAACCACCTGTGGGCCATTCGCCTAACGGAAATGCTTTGGTTAACGCTAACCCTTTCGATTTTATTTTGTTATTTCTGACCGCCAAAGGTTTTCAAATACCTTACGTTCATTTTCTTTAATATTGTTATCACCAATGCAAAAGAAAAAAAAAGCGAGGCATTTGAAAACATCAGGCGGCTAGAAATAACTAAATGAAATCGTAAGCGTTAGAGTTTTCCAAATTATTTCCGTTAGGCGAATGTCCCCATGGCACAGCGGTGACACTCTGTGTACGTGAGAGTTCCAGCGTCAGTGACCTTGAGCAGGAGCGTGTGTGCGCTAGGGTTGAACTTGGAATTTAGACTTGTGCCAATGAATATTTATGCATAGTAAGTTATTAAATGTAAACTGATTCAAGGATACTGGGGTAAATAATGAAGAATAGGTTTGATTTTATAATCAATTTTTAATCTTTTAATGTAGGTACTATAACAAATTGCTAACTTTTATATATTTTCTCCTTTTTCAATTCGTTTTATAATTCTTATTATTATCTAAATAATAATAAGATTGCGTAGCGTAGTCAGTCTGTGCGTGCAATGCAGTGCAACGCTATTATTTTACTATTTCGCTACTGCCATCCCTTCGGTCGAGGCAGTCGGCGACTGCCCTCTCCACGTCCCGCGCGCCGCGCAACGCCCCCGCACACCTCCAGACACACCAACATATAGCCGCGGGCGATTTTACGAGCACACATGCTTAAGTGTCGCTTCTTTTCGCGTAGTGCATATATTCTGTGCCCATGGGCCATCGAGCTCCTTGCTGCCACTTTCTAAATGTTTGTACAAATGTTATCTATGCAGGATATACGGCTGGCGGCCGGAGTTCTACAATGACACAGGCCACCTGCCGCCGGACATGCCGCGCGAACTGCGAACGCAGATCTGGAACATCACCAACTACAACCGGAACTATGTAAGTACTCGGCTCTTTGTGAAAATCTTCTTTGTTTATCCTTCTAACATAATAAATGTGAATTTTTGTATGTTTATTACTCAATCACGCAGAAACTACTGAACGGATTTGTATTAGACTTGCAACGAATATTCGGTATTCGGCCTATTCGGCTGCTTTTATTATATTCGGCCGATTCCGAATATCTACATATTATTCGGCCGAATACCGAATACTTGGTAATATATTTGGTCATAGAGAAATAATCCGTAAAATGAAAAATTAAAATCGATTGATTACGTATATATTCATATTTTTATTTCTGTTATATATAATCATTGGTACTCAACACAGGTACATAATATCAACTTCTGAATTGGAAAAATGGAGAATTCTATGTATTTGAATTATTGTGGTAATCAAAATTTAGAAGGCTAAGGTTCTTATTTCTTTTATAATCATTTATTAAGTAGTCATTGGTACATAAAACAGATACATATTTTTTTTTTCATTTTCTGTATTTAAGTTAAGATTTTTTGTATGCATTTGAATTATTTTCATAATCAAAATTTAGAAGGCGAAAGTTATGGTGCAGAAAAACTAACTTTTCTGCATTTTTAGGAAGTGGTTTACTTCTTTTTTTCTCGTAGACCACCCCAGCTTCAGAGAAAAGGCGCTCTGAATAAACACTACTTCCTGGCGCCGACAAATATTTTGCTGCAATATTATCAAACACGGAAATTCTAATTTCCTTGCTTGCCACCATGTATACGGGTTGTCATGACGTGATATCTCTTATCTAATAGACAAGTCCGTCCGTCCGTCCGTGGTGCTATTTCAGCGGCCAAACCGTAAGAGATAGATATAGAGAATGTTTAAGTTATAAGTTAAGAATAGTCTGATAAGACTACAAACCGGATGTGAGTAACGTAGCACTTCCGGTTTTCGAGAAATCACGTGATTTCTATTTCAAACGAAACCACACAAAATCTCCGAAGTTCTCAATTAATTAAATACATTTTTTTTTGGGGTGAACATTTGGTTCACTGGTTTGCTAGTATATTACTAATATTTAAGAAAAGATCAGAACAACAGCGGGCGCGCGAGCGATGAGTACATTAGAACAAAACAAAGGAGCGCGAAACAATCACGTCGGTACAAGTTTTTGGCGCTAAAATCCAGCCGAATACTTTTGCCTAATATTCGGTTATTCGGTCAGGGGCCTCGCCGAATATTCGGTATTCGGTATACTGCCGAATATACTGTTCGTTGCAAATCTAATTTGTATGAAATTTTGGTACAAGTTTACGATCTGGATTGAGATATAGGTTACTCTTTATCCCGGAATATGTCAGATTCCTGTGGGATTCACAAAAGACTAGTACTACTAGACTAGTAAAGTATAAACGAAGTCACTACCAATGCCTGTACGCTTAGATGTTTTAAACTGCGGAACGGATTTTAATCCAGATTTCACCAAAAGACATACCCATGCAAAGCCGGGACGGGTCGCTAGGGACGTAGGGACTAATAATTACAACTTTATTTTGTTTTTGGTTTTTTTATGGTTTCATGCATCGGCCGTCCATTCTAAAAGTCCTGTAGTAGTGCAGTAGTCTCTTCCCTACACTCACCTGCTCAGCCAGAGGTTCTGGTTATGAATTTTGTGAATTTAATTTATATTATTTCATTTTGATAAACATAAAACTCATAATTTTATCCAAATATCAAGTTAGTCATTGGCGTGGTGGCGGACAGCCCAATCTCTATTACATCAATAGGTTGATGAAGTTGATATCAATACTGTAGGCTAACATGGTGTGGGTCTCGTGTCACGGGGAGACTCCTGCGGACCGGGAGAACATCGGGCCGGTGCGGTACCTGCCGTACCCGGTCTTCCCGGGGTACTTCTGCCCCTGAGAACGTAGAGATAGTTAGATATATTATATCATGACATCAATACTGTAGGCTAACATGGTGTGGGTCTCGTGTCACGGGGAGACTCCTGCGGACCGGGAGAACATCGGGCCGGTGCGGTACCTGCCGTACCCGGGCTTCCCGGGGTACTTCTACCCCTGTGAACGTAGAGATAGTTAGATATATTATATCATGACATCAATACTGTAGGCTAACATGGTGTGGGTCTCGTGTCACGGGGAGACTCCTGCGGACCGGGAGAACATCGGGCCGGTGCGGTACCTGCCGTACCCGGGCTTCCCGGGGTACTTCTACCCCTATGAGAACGCGGAGGGATATCTCAGCCCGTTGGTCGCGGTGCACTTTCAGAAACCTAAGAGTGAGTACAGTTTATATCCATATTAAATTTGGAAATGCGAAAGTGTGTTTGTTTTTCAACTCTTTTTAAGCTTAAATTTTATATAGAGATCACATTATCATTAGCACGAATCCATATCGAATTCGAATATAATGCGATTCAACTAAGAATAGGACCGACTGGGCGCCATATTGTGATGTCGTAGCTGTGAGACCAAATAGGGAGAGTGAGCAAAAAAAAATTTTATATAATAATATTTATTTACTAAGATTAAGTGAGAAAAAGCATCAGATTTTTCTAATAATATTTATTTATTAAGACTGTAAGAAAAAAGATTAATCAGAATCTAGCTCTTCTATTCCGCTCATTTCTGCATTACCGCCGGAGTAGTTATGAATAATCATGCACTATTACTAGGTCACATACGAACATGCATCCTTTATGTAATCGAAAGTTTGAAATCGAGTTTCTGAACGCAACTTTGATCAGTGACATTTGGTTGACGATTTAGGTTATCAACCATTCATGGCCAAAGCTCAGTAAGTGAAAAAAAATGTCTATCAATATTAATTATCAATATTTGTTATTGTTTGTTTACAAATGTTTGGTTTTTATTGTAGAATTAGCGGAGTGCTAAAAAAAGGGTTCCAAGTTTTTTTTTGCAAACCGCACTTTTCAAGCGACATTTGACAGACAGAGGTCATTGGCTTTCCTATTCTTATTTGAATCGCATTATATTTGAATTCGATCTCAATACGCGTCAAGAAGTTTTGGATGGTAATTTGAAAAGCGTCACAACGGACGACACAAAACTTCTTGACGTTTAGGCCTCCTGCCTGCTGCTATACAGGTCCGAGAAAATAATTAGACAGCTAGTTAAATTAATTGACTATTTCGTAACAGTAAATGAAGTTCAACAAAAACAAATTTCCCTTATATTTTGAAGCTATTGACATCAAAAGTTTCAACCATTAAATCACTATTTTAAATAAAATAACTTACTAAAGAGGAGCTCGATGGCGCAAGTGGTTAGCGGGTTCGGCTGCGATCGTTAAATTTAAGCAACTTTCGCAGTGGTCGGTCATTGGATGGGTGACCAAAAATCTTCTATCGTGAGTTCCTCCGTGCTTCGGAAGGCACGTTAAGCCGTTGGTCCCGGCTGCATCTGTAGTCGTTAGCACCCGTCAATCCGCATTGGGCCCGCGTGGTGGGTCATGGCCCAATCACCCTATTCCATCCATAGGGAAGGCCTGTGCCCCAGCAGTGGGGACATTAATAGGCTGATGATGATGATGAACTAACTAAAGTCTAATGTAACTTCACACCTTATCATATACATATACTTACCTAAAATTTTATCATGTTTTCACATGGGTATTCGTATTCGCTATTTGTAAAATTGACAACAAAGGACTCTTTTTAATTCCTGTAGAGTAAATAGTACTCAAAAACTTACATCCAAACTATTTATTTTGCTAGATGTTAATTATTTGTATTGTTTATTCCAGCTGGCATAGTGATAAACGTTGAATGTCGCGCTTGGGCAAGGAACATCGTGTACAACAGAAAGGAAAGACTTGGAGTCGTCCACTTCGAGCTAATGGTCGAATAGACGCTGAAAGTATGTATGTATAGGGTCTAAACAAGTTCGGTCTTTCGAGTAGACCGACAAAAGACCAACACTATACGTAGATTTATAATGTTGTAACGTTGATATTAAAATACCACCTGAAATTATCAATTAAGACTTTGTTGCAGCTAGGTCTTTCGAATAGACCGAGAGAAGACCACTTTTTTTAAGTAGATTTGTAGTTTTTAAGCTTTGATATTGAAATACCGTCCGTTAATGTTTATATGTATGAGATTTTGATCGAGAAGAACTGTCGCTATATTTTAATATGTTCTAGTTAGATACAGTTATAAAACAAAAAAAATCTCAATCGAATATGTACCTTAGTCAAAATACTTTAAGGTAGTAAAATCAGTTGGGAAATTTTTCATACTTCCGCATGACATGATGTGAAGCCGTTGTTTATTGTATGCACGTAAAAAATATGTATACAAATTCATCGTAATACTGTGCCTTATTCCAAAGGAAATAAGAATCTCGTGCTTAAATAATATAGGGAAACTGATGCCGTCCTCAATGCAGTTAATTTTTCTTTTATAAAAGACTTAATACATTAGATAAGTGCCAACGCGTGGTCTACCGAAAAGACCAAAGCTTTATTAGTGAACATATCTAATGTTTAAACTTAGATTAAAACAAAAAGTGAAGATGCGGTACGCTCATACTAGCATTATATAAAACTAGCAAACCAGTGAATCAAATGTTCACCAAAACCTGATTTAAAAAAAAAATGTATTTAATTAATTGAGAACTTCGGAGATTTTGTGTGGTTTCGTTTGAAATTCGTGATTTCTCGAAAACCGAAAGTGCTACGTTACTCAAATCCGGTTTGTAGTCTTATCAGACTATTCTTAACTTATAACTTAAATATTCTCTTTATCTATCTCTTACGGTTTGGCCGCTGAAACAGCACCACAGACAGACGGACGGACGGACTTGTCTAATAGATAAGAGATGCTCCGAGTCAACTACATAAGCAACTCTCACACACGCACACTTCCGTAAATAAACATTCAATCGAACGAGCGAGACAGAACTATACGCTTCAACGCAGCGCGAACGAGACAGCAATTCCGCGTCGCTTGGCAACCGACTGTGTTTTCTTTTCTCTCTCTACAAATGGCTGAACTGTATTGTTGTGCTTTTCTTGATAAGAAATGGCGAATAAGGTCTTTTTGGCTGGATCGGGAAGCGTCACTTTAGCGATTTTGTTTTTCTTGTTAAAAATTGAGTTGTGGCGGATGTTTGTGTCTAATAATGGTGGATTTTTAACCATTAAGTGTTCGGGAACATGCACAAGTGTTGGCAAGTGAAACAAAATAGCGGAAAGTGTCTTTCGACGTTTCCTCAAGAAGTCCACGGGGAGGTTCCAGTTAAATCCCCACACTTTTACTGAAACATAGGGAAAGGGGGATTGACTTGACTGCCACTTACTTTGACTTAATTTATTACTTTGACCACGAGTGCTATAGTATTTGTAAACATTTTTACACTTAACATTGGCTTAATACACAAGCCGTGCGAAGCTACATAGAAAAAAAATGGCGAATAAGTAAATAATATTCATGACAATCCGTGATTTTTAAGAAAAAGCAAATGTTATTATAGTTTTACGAATGAAAAGTGTTGCCGTGGCATTTGTTATTTGATTTTGAACTATTTGTGTTCTTTTTAAAGCATCGAAGACATTGTTTTATCCTTATAACACAGAATATACGCAATATTGTTATATTGAGTGCACATGCAGCGTGTTTGAATGTCCAGTTGTGATTGAAGCGAATTGTTGTCATGCACCACAATTTAAGCGGTACACTTTTGAGCCGCGAGTGCCGTATCTTCCCTTTTTGTTTTAATCTAAGTGTGTAAATAATTTATAGCATTAAATTAAATCAAGCTTTTAAGTAGACCGTAACGGAATCTCTGAACGAATCTTAGTATTATTAATAATTGCATTTTTTCTTTGATAATAACACAATAAGTCTGTAAATTTTCTTACTTGTCATGTTTAGTGAACAATCTTTACACTACGTTTTATATCAATAAACAAAGAAAATAAAACATACCACATGCAGATTTGTACTTTTTGAATATTAGAAAATACTTGAAATAAATGCGGTTTAAAATTATTCGAATAATCATTTTGATATTAAGATATATGAAAATTGTTTATTGAATAGTACATATGAGAAAAAACAGTGTAGTTATAAAAAAATAAATGAAAAAATACGCTGACTTTATAATTTAATGTCTAGTTTTCAAAACAACACTTTTTTCTTGATTTAGTGTCTAACTTGGGAGATAAGAGCGATTTTATATTGTAAAATCGTCACATAAAGGCTTATCGAGAGTAAAGCACTCCCACACGCTTACGCGTTTTGAGGCGTGCAATAGGCTAGTTGACCCTTTTTGGAAAAAGGTTTTAATTGGTTAAAAAATGTTCTATTAGACCATGTATGAAACATGTATTGTACTTTTTTGAGACCTAGAAAGCTACAAATCTTTAATTTTAAAATAGACTTTTTATGGACATACAAAAACGCTGTCGGCCATTTTAGTCTATAGGTTATCTATGCTATGACGTCAACCGGTAGTAAACAAAAACTCGTAAGTACGTAGAAAATAACATCTGAGTTTATGATAATAAAAACTTGATTTTTAATAAATACCACGAGAAATATAGTAATTATCATTATTGTACTGTACGAGAATGTAAAAACACATCCTTGAAGACTCCTCGAAAGTTGTGGATTAAAGTGCCGAAAGAAATTAACCTACGCAATACCTGGTTAGAACTTGCTAAAAGGGATCCTGCAACTTTATCGACTCATAGTAAAATTTATTTTTGCGAAGATCACTTTGATGTAAGTGCTCATTGAACAATATTTTAAGCCTCTTCATTTATTATCAGTTTTAATAATACAAGTTTTAAGGTTATGTATGAATGACATTTAGTTGTTTACTACCAAAGAGACGTCACAATCATGGCAGATGTGGCGAACAGCGTTTTTAGTGTTTAAAAAGTATAAACTAAAAAATATTTTTTAAAATTAAATTTCTACAGCAATCTTCTGCTTTTATGAAGTGAAACGATATGTTTAGGTTCCTTAGACCAAATACTTTAAGAAATAAACATTTTTCTATATTATTACATACATTTGGAACATTTTACTTTATATTTAGTATATGAAACGACACAACTGGTATTTATGTTATTATTCTCTCTATATTTCTCAATTTTTACAATATACGCGTTTTAGTGTCTGTTAAGGTAGTGATTTTGTCTTAATTATATGATAACAATTATTTTTTTATGATGTTTTTTTATTTTATATCTTGAAGTGGGTAAGAAATAATAAACTTATGGCTATTTTGTATGATTTATTTTTATGTGAAATTTATTATTGTGTTTTTAATATCAAACTTGGTGAGAATAAGTAATGAATGATTTTATTGAAAAGGCAGGACATTGATTACTGATTTATTTATTACATACTATAATATTGGATCCAATATACATATATTTTGTCCAAATTTCCCGATTTGCGGGGAGAAATGTTAATGTGAGGAAAGCGCATGCGTGCATAGTCTTATCGAATTCAAAAATATTCCTGTAAGAGGCAAATGCTCATCAAAACAAAATATAGAATCTCAAATGCAAAATCTTTCTCTTTTATCAAGTTTTTTGTATAATTTACTAATATTTTGTATTTTTAATAAGTATTATTTGATTGAAATTATTGCGGTATAAAAAAATAAATAAATAATAATAGTATTCTACCTGCATGCCAAATTTCAGCCCGATCCGTCCAATGGTTTGGGCTGTGCGTTGATAGATCACTATGTTAGTCAGTCACCTTTGAGTTTTATATATATATATAGATGACAAGGATACACTGTTCTCAAATTTCAGTTTAGGTTCAAAGAATCATACCAGAATCGATACCAATTTTTTATTTGCAAATGAATGAACCCCAAGTCGTTACGTTAGCTTTTTTTTAACAATGTAACTATTTATTTGAAGCATTTATGAAAATTATGTCAATGTTAAATTAATATAGTTGTAGGTTTACTGCTGTAAGTACTAAACATAATAGGGTATTTGACATTATTAAAAATTAAGTGCCAATTGTTAGCATTTGTGTTAAGAATGAATATTGGCATGAGTTTTTACTAATTTTACAAAAAAAAAAAATTTACTAAAAACCCACGAAAAAGATAATAGTTTTCTTATCTATTGTCACGTGACCCAAAATGCTTGGGATTGGCGGAGCCTAAAATGACGTCACACGCAAGTAAACTTTCGGTTAAAGTGACATTGTATCGTTGACGTTTTAATAACAGTCGTGTGACGTCACACACTAGTAAGACGCCATATTGTCCAGAAAAACGTTTTCGCGGCAATTCGAAAATGGAGTTTTTGATTTGATTATTTTTACTGAAATACACAACAGAATGATGAATATCCATTTTTTATGGACTCCATAAACATTAGTCAATAACGTCGAGATCGTTTTCTAAAACTTGTCAAATACCCTATTCTGTGTTTTATTATAATATGGAAAATGTAATTATAATGATATTCCTACCGAATGTATGGTGTAACGAGTGCCTACATGATTGTAACAACTCCGTCCAATGTATGGATCTGTGTAATGTATAATTTTAATCGTATGGAAGCGTGCCTTAAAATGTGGAAAATAAAAGACTTTTTTTGATTAAAAAGCTGTGTTTCTTTCATCGGTAGGTACTTCCTTACATACTATAAAACGCCCTCCTACACTTATAAAAGACCTTCGCCTCATCTACTGTACTCCTAGCACGAACCATTATCTATTTTATATGGAAACTTGAACAGCAGCGCTACAACGGACGTAATGGGAACTAAAAATCAGTACACATTACACATAGTACACAAGAATAGAGTGGGGAAGGTGGCTCTAAAAGTGTCCGTCTAATAGAAAGAGAAAGCAGATGAGACTGCAAGCCTTTTACTCTCTAATCGCGAATGCGCATTGGATGAAAAACCTACGGATGAATACCGACCAATCACACGATTGCGCAACGTCACAGGAGATAGAGATAGCTAGCCGTCTCTTATCTTCTTTCTCTTTCTACTAGACGGACACTTCCACTTGTAGTTGAGTACATATCTCCCCTACTCTATTCTTATACCTTACTAGCTGACCCAGCGAACTTCGTACCGCCCTAAAAAAAATAGGGGTTGTCAGCGGACAAAATTGTGAATCTAAACCATTCTCAGATCCCCTTGAACACACACAAAAAATTTCATCAAAATCGGTCCAGTCGTTTAAGAGAAGTTCAGTGACATACACACTCACAGAAGAATTATATATATAAAGATGACTGCAGTCCAAACACAAACTTTGACAGCGTCAAAGTTTCTATGAAAACTTAAGCAGATCCCCTACTGGAGGTGAGGACAAACTGGCGCCTTTCATACAAGATTTTACGATAACGGATATGTCGGGTTGTTAGCAAACATATGGCCCGCCTGATGGCAAGCAGCCACCGTAGCATACAGACGCTTGCGACACCAGAGTATCACTCGTGTCGTTGTCTACCCTTATCCAATACCCTACTCCGGCAGACAATTTGCAACAACTACGTTTCGTTATAACGAACCCAGCGAGGATTGGTGGGTGATAACGGACTCAGTGCGGATTGGTGTGTGATAATAAACCCAGCGCGGATTGGTAGGTGATAATAAACCCAGCACGGATTGGTGGGTGATAACGGACCCAGCCCGGATTGGTGGTTTATTTTTCTATCAACAAATCTTTAAGGTAAGTTTATGATTATCAGATCATTGGAGCTAAAGAAGTTTCACTTCAGTCGTGTGGTCATAAGCACACGCTGTTTTTTATATAAAACTCGTTAGTAATTTGAATCATGAGTTTTATTTAGTTCTGTTAAAAGTTCACACGAGATATTCTATGATATTCTTGACTGCAAGGCACTTTACACAAATAGACGTTACATTGCTTACACATTATATCTTGTTTATATTTTTTTGTAGCGCACACATTCTGTAACGCTGCCTTTTTTATTACGAACGGTAACAGAAATGGTAACGGAAATGACTCTACCCCTCTGATGTTAAGTGGTGATAAAGTCCAAACGCGAAGATAGCAGTTATAAACTACCACACCAACCATCCTCACCTTGCCGGCCTGCAAAAATGCTTCTTCACGCCTCTTATAGGACCCCAAATTATCGGAAGGAGGGAACACGTGCGCGGGTAAAGAATTCCACTTACGAATAGTACGACAAAGAAATGAGTCACCGAATTTCTTTGTTCGTGTAGGAATAGTGGTCAAAGTAAGTCGGTGGCAACGTAGGCCAGCGCGCGTGGTCCTCTGAAGAAAAGGTGATGGAGGGATAAGGGAGAATAATTGCATCATTAGGTAAAAAGCAACAGGGATAATTTTGTACACTACGCGATGTCGAAGGCACAATCTGCTACCTAGTTTATTTTTAGTAATGAATTATTGTATTACTACCAGCTGAAAATCTTTTTACGGCTTTCTGGAACAATTATTTGTAATTTTAAGGGCGCTTTCAATTTATGCGTTTCTTGACGGCCTGCTGCGGTGCCGAAGCGGTGCGTTTGTCCGTACAGCGTACGGAAGATCCTTTTTTTTTATAACAAAACGCGCGGTGCGGCAACAATCCTGTTGTCGAGCGTTCGCGGTACCGGCGCCGCACTGTTGCCGCAGAAGGCCGTCAAGAAACGCATAAATTGAAAGCGCCCTATAAGTGTAAAATGCGTTTCATCATCGACCCATGCTCGTCCACTGCTGGACATAGGTCTCCCCTAATGCACGCCACTGCTCCCGATTTTCTGCCACTCTCATCCAGCCCACTCCAGCCAGCCTACGAATGTCATCATCCCATCTTGTCTCAGGGCGTCCCACACTACGTTTACCGAGTCGCGGTCTCCACTCAAGAACTTTACGGCTCCATCGGCCATCAGTTCTGCGGCTAATGTGACCAGCCCACTGCCACTTCAGTGTGCTATGTCGGTTTGGTGGGCTATGTCGGTGACTCTGGTTCTCTGCTGGATTGCATCATTTCTGTTTTTTTTTAAATGCGTTTAACATTGACATATCGATTATGCTTAGTGATAGTTTTAAATACCATTGCTTCGTTTTCCTTATGCACGATAAACTACTTATCACCCATTTTTAACATTTTTCCCGTATAATCAATGACACATTCCGGTTTTAATTTTGGCATGCCGGTAGTTCTGTCTTCTTTGTTTGATGGCAAAAGTTTAGCATCATGTATTGTGCTATCCATAGGTCGCTGGTTCATATCCGGCTCGAAGGACCACAAAGATGGGCGGTCCCGTGATGCTGCCGAACGACCTATTCGATAGATCTTGATAACTTGATAATAAAAACTCCTTGACGATTATAGAATGTTTATTTTCTTTATATACGAGCTTGCAATGACTTGATACACACACGACCGACTATACAATCAAATAATATTAAATAAGTAAACTATTTCGCTGACACGGAAACATGTGCGGTAATTGGACCGCACATATGGTTACAGCCTTTTTATCTTGCCATTTTAATGTCATTAAAGGAAGAGAATAGTAAGCGTCCACATCTCTCTCTTCTATTATTCTCTAGTGCCACATGCGTATATGCCTTTTTCTATCAAATATTGGAATAACTTTGGGCTGGAGTACTAATTATCGAAATAAAGATGTCTATTACTGTTGAAATATTCCTTCATGAGAGTAACGACTACCGCTCCGCTCACTCCGAAATCTGGAATGTTCGATCTCTGTTTCAGAGCCACCTAGACTATAAAGTCCACTATATAGCCAATTTTTGTTATCGCACAATACAAAAAGTTTTATTTCAAACCGATTCCTCTTTTTAGGCAAGTATTGTTTGATCATAAGGTGGTCTTTAAAAGAGACAATACTCTCATTGATGCATAATTTCTGATGTGGTACTAAACCTTGTTTAAATTTATTTGTTTTTGAAGTTATACTTCTTTAGGCGCGTTATGAAAAAATGATGAGAGTGAAATTTTAAGATGCGCGCGCATCACTGTAACACAAAATTTTAACATAATGAAGTTGGCCGCTTTAGCGACCAACTTCATGCGTTACTTTTGTGTTTACCGCACATTAAGAAAATCTACCAACAAAATAGAAATAGAATCTCTATTTAGTGGGTGCTAACGACTGCATTGTGAAGGCCTATCAAAAGTATTTATTAATCTGGAACAACGGAACCAAAGCGCGATTCAGGAGGCTACAACGCCATCTCTTGACCATTGGTGTAGTAGAACCAAAAACCACATCTTTATTTTTTGTAATAAAGTAACAGTTATAGGTATTCATATTTATAATATTTATCCACATGTTTCTAGTTTGTATATTCGGAATACGTGTTTGAGTTTCATACAAGTGTAAATCACATATGTTCTAATAAATTATATTCAGTAGCGATTTTAATTGAATATTTTGATTATTTATTTATTTTTTCAAATTAAAACTGAACTTTATTGACTGTGTCCTTTTCCAGACTTTTTATTAATTTATTGTAATTAATTATTTGCATGCAATTAAAAACTAATTTTAAACGATGCGAAAGAAGGATAACTTCTCACGCGCCTACATAAGTACACGCACCCATTTTTTTTTTATAGATAGGTCCGACAAATGACTCCACCCCACCTGATGTTAAGTGAAGGTGAAGTCCAGACGCGAAGATAGCTGGTACAGCAGTTCTACCTGCCACACCAGCCATCCTCACCCTGCCGGTCTGCACGTTGCTTCTTCACGCCTCTTTTGAAGGATCCCAGGTTGTAAGAGGGAGGGAACACGTGAGCGGGCAGAGCATTCCATTTACGGATAGTGTCACAAAGAAATGAGTCACCAAATTTTTTTGTACGTGTTGGAATTGTGGCCACACTTAGATGGTGGCACTCTAAAGGAATGGGGAAGGTGGAATAAGAGAGAATAACTCCTCAGAACACTGGCCGTGGTACAAGCGATAGAACGCGCTTAGTGACGCCACGTCACGGCGTAATTGAAGAGGCTCGAGGTGTTTAGTCACCTTCTCATCGCTTATGATGCGGATCGCGCGCCGCTGCAACCTCAAAGCATCGAGCAAGTACTTGGCGGAGCCATCCCCGAGGTGCGAGCAATATTCCATGCTGAACCGCACTTGCGTTTTGTACAACAAGCACAGTTGATCTGGCGTGAAAAAACTCCGCACCTTGTTCAGGACTCCGAGTTTGCGTGAAGCTGTTTTGATCACGGTTTATATGTAGTCCTTTGGAGTCAGGTCTGAGCGAACTTTCATACCGAGCATGGTAATGTTGCTCTGTAGCGGTAGTGTTGTGCCTTGAAGAGATGGAAGGGGAAGGAATGGCGATGTTTTTGCGCTTAAAGAAAAAACTCTCGGCAGTTAAAATACTATGAACGAAATGCATCATAGCCATAATCAAACAAAATTTATTCCTGCTCATAGTTTTTTGAAAGATTCAGTAGTGGATCCGTAGACCAATGCTCTTTCTTCAATATAAGTATATTCTTTTATACCTTGTGAATGACATTGTTACCGCAAAAAATAGATAAATTTATTTCGCATCAATGTCACACCAATCTCGAGTTCTCGAGTGTTCTCGTATATCAAAATGAAGAATATAAAATT